TTAGTTCAAAAGCCTAGAATAAGACAATAAAAAACAGATTTTACTTAAGGTAAATTTGTAGCTTGACTGCATTTATAGTTTGTGAACTTGATTGCACTGGGTTTTATTTATTTTATTAAGTCTCTATTTGCCACACTCAGCTGCTTTTGCCTGCTTCTTCTGATAGCATAACTGGTTAATTTCTCTGGAGATTTAATTCCTGTTAAAATCTGGTGGAATCTCACAGATAAAATTGAATCATAGTCACAACCATGTTGGGTATTGATGGTTTCAGAATGGTCTGAGGGTTCTTTGTGTGCTCCTGTCTGCCTTACCTTCACTTCTGGAATCCTGCTATTGCTTCAGGGATTTGCTTCTGGCTGTACAGTTGGTCTAGGATTTACTGTAACTATTAAGTGTGCCTAATGCAGTTTTTTTGTGTGTGTGGCTTACTGTGTCTTGTCATCATTTGGGCATGGTTCTATGGCTGGGACTTGTATTGAGGTTCCAGAAGCACTTTGCCTTCTAAACAAAAAAGGGAGGGAAAGATGGCGTAAACATCTAGTGAGATAGGTATTTTTAAGGGCATTGTTAGCTAGTCACGCTGTGGAATCACAGTTGTGATGCTGAGCAATGATCTATTGAAATAGAGAACTTGCTTAAGATAAGATAGTTCTGCTTTAAAGAAGACTGTTAAAAATGTGCATTTCCAAAACCTCTAGCCACAGTGTCCAAATCACCAGTAGAGTATTTTGCAGTGATTCTTCATATCTGATGGAAGTGACAGAAAAAAAGGATTACTTCCATTCTGGGTAGTCTTCTCCTTAAAAATGCCTTTTGCAGCCAAGAGTCTTTGCCTAGTGGGGACTGTGTCCAAAGTCTGTGTGGATCCACAGGGAGAGTCAGACCTCTGTGCCCACTGACATGTAGGTGATCTCTGGTTCTGTGTGTTTTCAGGATTCCAGACAGTGCAGAAGAGGTAAGCACTTGGTATTTAAGTATCTTACTCTATGCATGGGTGTCTGTGTTGTCCCTGTGCATCTATTATCCATGCTCTGAATTGTACAGACTTGGAGAAGAACATGCTTGTTAGGATCTGAGCTTTTTAAAACTTTCAGTGTATATCACACACAGCTTGATCATCTAGAAAGTTCAGGAAATGAAAACTTGCATGTTTCAGTCTGGTGTTCAGTGAAATACCTTTTATTATGTTGAATGCTACTGTTTTTTTCAGTGTGGGGAAGGCAAATAAAAAGTGAAAACTAATTCTTATGGTGGGTGAGGAAGTCCTTTGTCTTTTGGGATCCCAGTAAAGAAAGGCATGAAAAGCAGGTGAACTACAAATAACTGGGAAAAGGCAATAGCAAAGTATAAAATCATATGCCTTTTCTGTTGCTGGAGATCCTGAGATGATACAGCTTTGGAAAGATCTCTGGTCAAGGCTTGGCACATTGTAGATCTTGTTTGCTCATTGTTCATTAGTACTGTTGTGGGGTTTTACAGTACAGAGTCATCCATCACTGATAGTAGTTGGGTCTGGAATCAGAGCTTTGAAGTGTCCCATGGACAAAGTGCGCTAATATCCTTGACTCATTAATAAAACTGCAGTTCCTGAGCAAGCTGTAGGTAATATTTCAAGTGGGAAAGACAGCATACTGTACACATACTTAAAATGAAATGCACATTGATTGGTTACTCATTGATTACGTGGACATTCATTAATTGTGCTATTGATTGGACACAGCATGACTCAGTAATGATCACACGGTATCCGTGATAATCACGTACCTGAATGTGGGTCACTGACTGCTCACACAGTAATAATCTTACAGGCGGATCATTACAAACAAGTTGAAAGGTCTTTGTAGTACTTAAATTGACTTGAAAGGGGTTCAGTTTTACTGGATTGATGGGATAGATTCAGACAGATTTAGTGAGCTGTTCAGATGGACCTGAAGATTCAGAAGGAATATCAATGAATCAGAATTTTTTTCAGTACCTCAACTTAAATGTCATTGTTTTGTGAGCATCTAGGATTTTTTTCACTTTTGCTGTTCTCTATAGATTTGTTTCTCTACTATGTTTGTATTTCATACTTGTAGGTCAGTTGAGTAACTTCATATAATATTTGGAGACCTTTATGTTGGCTAATTAGCCAAAGTGTTTTGGTCACCAGTTTGTCTAAAAATAATTTTGCTGTGAGAATGTTCTAAATTTTTAGACCACTCTTGCTGAATGTGGGTTCTTCCATTTGCATTCTCTGAGCGAGAAGAGCTAAAATTCCCCTTAAAAATAATTGTGAAAATATACTGATGTCAGTGAGCCCATCTGATGGATAATGGACTTAGGGTGCTAAGCTGAGAAAAGCAGTGGTAAAGGTAAGCAGTTGGTGCTTCATATTGGTCATGGTAGAAGGAAGTTAGGTAGGCTCTTGTAGCCTATGAGAAAGAAGAAACAGAAGCATGTTGCTGTTAACTAATTGACTAGATTTTTCTTCATAGAAAACAGAAGGGAACTCTGAATTTCTAGTAAATAAAGTCTTCCAGACAGATTTGTATTTATTCTGATAAACATTCTTTGGTCACAGTTCCATGGTCGTATGATTGATGCATATTTCTTAGCCTAGAAATGATGCTGTGTACTTTGGAAGTGGTCCAAGAAAAGCCCTTCCTGAGGCAGTTGTGTATTTTTGTTAGTTGGCATCCTGCTTTGTTCCTTGGTGGAATTAGCTGCAAGTGGGGAATGGAAAGCTGTAGACATAGAAGCTTCAGTGGTGATGTGTGCTGCCTATCCAATACCTGACATTGGCCAGTATAATTTCTTAGCCTGTATTTTCTTTATCCATAAAAAAACTTGGCCTGCAATGAAATACTGAACTATTTTAAGGTATAAACTGATGAATGTCAGAAAATTAATTGCAGCATAGGATGGAAAGAAATCTTGCTATATGTGGGTTTTCTCCTTTAGTACAGAGCACTGTGGTTCTGGGAATAGCTTCTATTGGATACGTTTAAAAGGTGGTGCGGAGGCCCAGATCTCTGGTGGGCAGCCGTGCAAAGGACTGTAGAGAGCACTTGCCAACAGAATAGAAAAAATAACTTTTCTAGTTTTGTGGAAGTAAAAGTAAAAGATGCATAGTAAAAGCAAAATAATTTGCTTGAATACAGTTACTGTGGTCCAGCAGATAGCAAGCACAGCTGTTTTTTGGACCTACACCAGCATCTGGTGATGTAACCCACTTTGTATTTTGTGAGAGGAACAGTGATTGATTTCTCATTAGCTAAGCAATTGAAATTTAATTTGTGACAGTGTTAGACATTTGAAGCTGTTGTTTTCTGAACTGTGAGTGTTCTATCTGCAAAGATTGTAGAGGGTTTTTGGAAATTAGATGAGGGTCCATGCAGGTTTATTGTACCATGTGTAATTTTGCTCTGGTAAAAGGAGCTGGTTATAAAAAGACTTTCTGAGCCTTTATCTTTCTGATTCTATATCAGATTTTCTCTGTAGATTTTTTTCCACCACATAAGTACAGCGTTCTTTGTAAAAGTGGGAGATAATGTGAATGAAATACATTCAATATGATTGGCTTTTTTGAGTTTGTTACAAAAAGTTGTCAAAATAAGCTTTGCTGTTACACTGTAGTTCTGTGATAATGAAGATTTATTTGGAAAACAAACCTGGTCTCTGAGAGAACCTTAACATTTCTGTTTAAGGATATTTAAATTCTTAAAATCTTTTAAAAATGTTATTAGACTTCCTGAAACCCCAATTGATAATATTAGGGAAATGACCACTTATGTGTCCTTTTTTGGAGTTGTTGTTTATGTTTAGCAGTGATGTCAGTTGTTATAGGAAGAATGTTTTTTTCTCAGGGCTAAAATTTTAATGGCTGTCAGTTCATTTCTGCGTGCCCTTACATGAAAGGAAAAAGCATGGTTGCTCAGCATTTTTGTTGAGAATATGGAATCATCTTGGTCAAAGTCATATGTTTGTGGGCTTGTTTTGGAGCAGCACTTAGGTTTAATGTTTTTCTGCCTGATACTGATGTTTGGTAGCTACAATAGTACAGTACATGGCCAATAGTGTGTAATATAGAAAATTAAGATTGCCATACCTTTTCTAGGACATAAAGTGCTGGAATCTCTTAATGTGTTGTCATCTTTAGGTACTTGTATTTCAAGTGTCAGCACACATAGAGGAGTTATGTACAATAGAGTAATTATTTCCTAAAGCATAAACCCACCAGTTGAAATTCTGTGCAAGTATAATGTAAAAGCCATTTCTGTGGTCTGCATGTTTGTATGTTAGGTCTCTTCCAGTTAATGGTGGGCGGATGTGTGTGCAGCATGAAGTATTAATTGTGGGTGCAGTGAGACAGCAGGAAAAAGAGTATCACTTCAGCTTCTCATGTAAACAAAAATCAGAAACTCTGAAGTTTCATTAAATATCAAACTAGTGCTGACCTATGCAATCAATGTTGCTATTGCACTCTTCTGCAGTTCACAAAATTTTACCTTCCTAAAATTACAGACAACATTACTTTTTATAGTATTGATTTGAAGCTTTTGTACTGTAGTCAAGTTTTATGGCTTCACTTGCATCTCTACTCTTGTTTGAGTTTTTCTTACTGGTATTTCTCCTTTCTTTATACAAGAAAATGTAAATAGACCTACTTAGAGCACCTTCTTTAATGACTAGAAAGTAGGAGCAAGGAGTGAAATTTATCTGGAGCAACTTTCTGACTTAATGATAATGAGCTAAATGATTGAGGTTATTTTGCTGTTAGGATCTTTGCCATCACCGAACATGTTACAGAAATTAGTGTTCTTTTCTCACTTGCTTATCTAGTGTTTTATTATTGCAGGTGATAACTGCATGAAAATTAAGTTGAACTGTAGATTTTTTAAGTGCAATGTTTATTAAAAAATGCCTTTAAATGGTATAAATACATAATTGCTCTGGCATGTTTTGTTTAAAATAAAACATTAGCACTCCCCTTCAGACTTTGGTTTTGTGTCTAGGTTGCACGTCTTCAAAAAATCCCTGATGGTGACAATGAGACAATGATTCCTGTACTGTCTTCAAAAAAAGCAAGTGAATTGCCAGTTGATGAAGTAGCAAGTATTCTGCAAGTAAGTAATTTTTTCATATAAAAAGATTGTATTGATGTTAGCAAACAATAAGTTTGATATTTCTTAAAGACAAATTTTGTAATTGAAGGTTGATGCATTATCATGCAGTTTGATGCTAGCTATTACCTACTTCTAAAAGCAAGTTGATTTTTAAATTGTTACTAGAAATTCTCTAATCTCTTAATATTAAAAAAAAACATAGGGCTTTTGCCGAGGGAGTGAGATTAAACTTGAAGATGTTTGGATTTATCTGCTTTGAAAATTGCAATTTGCTAATAAAAATCCTAGAGTCAGTCTTGCTATAAAATTCTGTCCTGGGTTTTTCTTTTTTTATTGCTTCCATTTCTTTAAGGAATCTTTAATGTACTTAATTTATTTTGGTAGCCTCCATCTTAAATGGTGAAACAGGACTGAGAAATCTACCCATTGGCAGATTTACGAACCATTCAATCTGTGTTAATTTTCATGATAGATGGTCTTTTTTCATTTTCTGTATGCTTGACTGCTTGAGGAGTACACCATGATAAATGTTGGTCACTGACAACTCGGGATTTGAAGCTATTGCAGTCATTTGGCTGAGTCACTGAACTCCTGATGTAACCCTCGAGAGTCTGAAGGATGCCACAGTTTGATTTGTTGTAGAGTTTTTTGCAGGGAAGATCATCAGTCATTTACAAATATGAAGCTACATCTGCTTCCATAGTTCTTCTGTGAATTTTTGATTCAATTCCTTAAATACTGCCAGAGTTTTAAAATAATAGTTAGCTTTTATTGTCATACAAACAGTAGTACCAAGCTTGTCTTTCTGATGTTGCCCAAATTCATATAATCAAAGGCTGTGTATTTGGGTGTGCAATTTTACCCTAGCTTCTCAGTGTAATTACTGTTTCATTCTTTGCATATTTTAACAGGCTAATCTTCAGAATGGCTTAAAAAACTGTGAAGTTTGTCATAGACGGGCATTCCATGGATGGAATGAATTTGATATTAGTGAAGATGAACCACTGTGGAAAAAATATATATCCCAGGTAAAGATTTATGTCCTTTTTGCTTTTAATACTTTTCAATAGTTTTGCTCTTTATTTTGTTTTGCTTAGCTTTTGTATACATTAACATATTTTGATAAAAGTGGGAAAAATCTAATTGAGTGGGAAACTACAGCTTGTAAAATTTATATCTAGTTTATCTATTGAAAAAGCTTTTACTTAGGCATGTATCTATAAGCATCATAGTGTTGTGATTGTGATCTGTTCTTAAATATATGTTCATAGCTATCCAAAAGGTGCCATTCATAGCTTGAGGGCTAGAAAAGTAAAAGAAACTTCCCTGTAGTCAAATGTGGTCCTGAGATCAGAGAACAATGCATATGACCATTGGTAAATATTTAAATGGAATGTGAAATATGAATAACTTGATAGGAAATTTCAAAAAGCAAAATTGCTGCCTTTGATCTGAGGGTGGAGGTGGGACCAGCCTTGATTCTGGTGTTCAGCAGAGCTGGCAAGAGTCAAGTGTGAATATGTTTCTTACCAGTGTGATATATCTCAAATACATATACTACACATATCTGATGTGAAAGTGTCACTACTTTCTCCTGCTTACCCGTCCCACCCCACAGCTATACAAGATATTTACACAGATGATTCTTCTAATGAATTTGTAATGTTAAACATTTTGGGCAGTGTTTGCTGCACCGTGGCTGTGCAACAGTGCAACCCTGAAGCTGCACTCTGTGGTTTGACTGTGTCTTCCTTGGGAGAGATTAAAAAGACATTTAGTGCTTTGATGATGGTAGTGGTGGGAACACATCCCATCCTGGCTGTGCACTGGCATTAATGCTTTATTTTCAAGTGTGTAGGGTCAATTACTCAGATGCAGCAGAACACTTCTAAGGCATATTGCCCAGGACTATTTCAGATGGGATTTATTAAGATTCGTGCTTGCTTTGAGTGTGCTTATCAGATCTGCTTTTGGAATGTTCTTCAACTGAATTTTAGGAATGTTCATTTTTTATAGTGTTTCTCTGAAAAATCAGTACTTTAGCAACCAGTTGTCATAGAAGCAAGATGCTTTATTGCTTTAGCCTTAAAAAACTGTGGAAATCATATGATCTAAATGGGAAACTTTTATCTTGTCAAAGAAGAAATCATGAATTGAAAGTTAAAAAATATATTTTATTTCTACCTTAGTGATCATTTGCTGGAACAGGATCATTCTTTTACCTCAAAGACATTTTGATTATATTTCAGACTTCTTTTTGTTGTTTAAATACAGTATAAACAGTTATAGGAGATTATTCTTTCTGCAGAAAATGTGAATCAAGAAATGTAAAAAGCATTTTCTTCCTGTTACATATTGAATACAGTCTATTCAAGGTCTTTGATATTTAAAACGCCCCAAGTAAGAATCTGAACTGTAGAGTTAGCTTTTCTTTGAGCTGCTAGGTTATAAATATTTTAATAATAGAATAATATGTTTCAAAAATAGATCTGGTATGCTCTGAGGGGGTAGGTAAAATAGCCTTTCTGTCAATGTGGCTGAATTACTCTTCTGTTTCATTTCAGTTTAAAAACCCCCTTATTATGCTTCTCCTGGCATCTGCAGTCATCAGTGTTGTAATGCATCAGTTTGATGATGCTGTCAGTATTACTGTGGTAAGCAACTAAAATTCTGTCTTGTTTGGGAGTACTTGGGAATGTGTGACCACATGTGTGTTCACCATAGTGGGAATGCCAGTGTGGGGTGGGATCATTTGAATGCAGTTACTAAGTTGGATTTGTGTGTTATCATTAAATCCGTTCAGTTCATGACTGGATTTCGTTTTTTTCCTTTTCTTTGAGAGCAGAAATACATCCATGAATAACTTGTAGCTGCTTCTTGCTTATTTTCTATTTCCTGTCTTTAGGCATTTGTTCAGAGAAGCAATTTTCTGTGTATTCAATGAAATTTTAATCTAAAATTATGATTTAATTTTAAATTGAAGCCAACAAAAACCTTCTTTGAATTTACTTGAAAGACATAATCTTTTAGAACATGAAGTAAAACCTGAACTGTCTAGAAATCACAGAAGAAAGATTGAAGCTGAAATAATAAATTTTTGTAGAAAGTTGCAGTTAAATAGGGTGCTGAACTAGTGAGCCAAATATAGTACTCGTAATTGTCACTGCAATTGGCACAGAGAAGAAAACTGTAATCCCTTTGACCTTTTAGGGGTCATAGGTGGAGACTGAAAATCCTGATTTCTGTATGACTAGAGGCACATTCTAGCTGGGTTTTTTTCATGTTTTGTCTTACCGCTGCACTTTCTGTGTTGACTTTACTCTTGTACATAACTCAGGGTAACTGGAGGTTTGATCATAACCCCTTTCTTTTTTTATAAAGAATAGTTGCCTTTGAAAGACAACCTGTGTGTCCTCTTAAAGATAAAATTTGCCATTTTGAATTTGAGTGAAGTGTTAGTCTGGAATAGTTTGTTGTGTTCCTAAGTTGGATGTATGTAAATTGTTGTATTATGAAATATATTTCATTATTGTGGCTGGAAGTTGACTTATTTCATGTTTTTTCCCCTTGGTTAGTGCCTTTAATTCTATTTCTTAACTCTCTTGGGCAAGGCAATGAGAAAAAAACCAAGGCAGCTGGTGTAAGAGAGCAGTAATTTCTGCATTCTTTGTTACAGCCTGGGAAGAAATCTTTTGATAGCCTTGTGAACATTGGTAGAAATATCTTAAAATACGGAGAAAAAGTGCGATTGAGTTAAAGTTATCAACTGTGGGTTTTGTCTAACTTCTGACTAACTTGTACCATTTTGTCTTGTTATTATCAATAATGCCCACTTTATCACCAAGTCAATATTTATTTTTTTTCATTTTCAGATGATAGTGCAATTTTTCTATGACTATGTATTGTGTTCAGAGCCTTGGCAACAAAATTCATTTGCTACTAACGATCACTGACATAGTTTACTCTTGGTGGAATTCCTGTTTTGAGCTGCTTCTGCCATCCTTTTAGCTCTGCTGGTACAAATGTAAAACTTCTTGATCTGGACTGGGAACTGATGAAGATTAAAAGGAAAATAAAATCATTAAATACTTTGCATTTGGCTTCTTAATGCAATTCCCCACAGACACAAGCTGAGAGACTGATGTGAGGCTGGGAATGCAAAGCTGTTTCAGGTAGTGGTCTATGGAGTATAGTATGGCCTCCAAAAACCATGCAGCTGTGGTGGAAATATTCCATGGAAAGATGAAATATATATAGTTATTTCCTCATATTGAGTTGGTGAGGCTAGTGTTACTATCACAACTAAGGATTTATTGAAGCATTCAAGAGAGTTTTTCACTCGCAAAATGGTTACATCTTGGTTATTTTTAGTAGTTGCTGTGTGTACTTGAAAGGCTTAATTAATGGTTGATGTGTTATGGTTCTGGAAAAATCAGTGTAACAGCTCAGCTTGAGTAACAAATTCAGTTAATGTAGCAATATGAGAGTGTATTGAAGGAGAAGATGAGACTTGCTTTACAGCAAGCTCTGATCTTTGTTTCCTGGAATAGATTTATTTCATTTGCTCAATTTCATTATATGTTTAGAAGCCCTGTAATGTTTATTTTGAAGTCTTGCAACCAGAATTGTATGTGATGGAGGGGATTTTGAGGGCTGCACTTGAGGCCTTAGTACTTATCTTGGATTCTTCCTAATGAACAACATTTTTTTACCTTTTTTGTTTGGGATCTCTGACACCCTGTCTGTTTGGGTTGTGCCCAGTGTCCTGTTTCACTCTGTGGGTGCCTTGGGCAGTGTTTCTGAGGCTCATTCTCCTCTTGTTCTTGCTAGGATGTTTTATGGCTCCAGACTGGTTCTTCAGCTTGCTGCCTTTTATCTAGTCTTTCTGTTTTCTTGGTATGTGAATGAAAACATGTCTGTGATGCCCTGTAGTAGTTAACACACTTTTGTTCTGGTCACAGAAAACACCAGTCAGTTTTTCTGTTTGTGTCATGGGTCTCTTTCTGTTGCTGTCTCTTATTCACTGTTTAGAAACAGGAAGCAGAGGCAGTTTTTCAAGTTTGCTATTGAGTTATTAATCTTACTTTTAGTAAAATCAGGTTGTTGCATTCTTGGACATGACTGAAGGAGGTGCAAATAGATAATGACTTTGCTTTTATGACAGAGCTGAGAGATACAGAGTGATTTTGAGCATGAGAAAATTAGTTTCTTTCCAAATCATCGTGTTAGTATGTAGTAACAACTGTAACTGAACAAAATCTAATATGATTGCTTACTTTCATGGTCATTTGGAAAGCTTTTATCTCACCCACTTCTGTTCTCTTGCAGGCAATAGTCATTGTTGTTACAGTTGCCTTCGTTCAGGTAAGACAGATGTCATCCAAATAAGATCATTGCTTCTATGGAAATTGTTTTATTAAAAAGACTGAAGCAGTTGTCTTGGTGCATTGTGCTGTGAATGGTTGAGTAATGTGCTTTCATCCCAGTCTTTGGCTTTTCTAAAGTGCACAATTTGTCCTGCTTTAACCATGTTGACATTTATGCACCTCTATCGGCATTATACTCGGCAATAAGAGTACTTGTAAGGAAATCCTTGTAATAAACAGTGTAGAAGTATGTAAACATCTAACTTCGTAGAAAAGATTGTGAAAATGTAGCTCTTGCTTTAATTTTGTGCAGAAATGGAAACAAAGATTGTCTTCATTTCCGAAGTCATGAAAAAAGTTTTCATTCTCTAAGTGTGCAGCTTTAGCCAGGGTGTGCCTAAACCAGAATTGCTTTGTGTGTTTGTGCTTTATATCTTTAATTATCCTAATTTTGTAACCTGTTTATCGAGTTGAGCTGTGTTACCTTGGTTCTCTGGGGAGCTAAGAACATGAACACAGTATTTTTGGTACTCATTTGTTAAACTGTAGCATTCAATAATGTGTCTGATCCTTGGGTTTAGAAGCATTCTAGTAAGTATTACAAAGACCTGAAATATTGAAAGAAAATGCAAAGGACCTCTGCTGTTTTGTCAGAAGAAATGCATGTACACAAATATGTAAATTTTTCAGTGTTTGGAATATATTTATTTTTTAACTTTTCTGATATAGAACTGTTGAAAGTAATTTCTTGTCTGTTTGGAATATTACTTAGTACAACTTTATTAATGAAATAAATTTTCGTAGCTGTATTTTATGTTGTGCAAGTTTTCCCTGTTTAAAACTACAATCTTTTTTATTTTAAAAAAATTTCTCTGCAGGAGTACAGATCAGAAAAATCTCTTGAAGAGCTTAGTAAACTAGTGCCTCCAGAATGCCATTGGTATGTAGTTTTGTCCTTTGAGTCCTAAAGTAAATCATAAGATATTTAATCTGAAATTAATAAATGGGAAAGATTTTACTGAACTTAGTTCCTTTGTATCAAGTTTATGCTGACCTAAAACACTTGCCTTTGCTCATTTTAAAGATTGATTTATGAGTCTAAAAAACTATACTGTATGGTTGTGTGTCTGAACCCTTCCACTGATGTTACTGATATGTAAGCTCTCAGAAACAAGCAGCAAGTTAGAAATATTTTGCTGAAATATGTAGCATTGCAATGGTGTGAATGCTTTTCTCAGCCAAAATGCCAGAGAAGTCACTCTTGCTGCTCTTTGTGCCTACAGTGTGCGAGAAGGTCGGGTGGAACACACACTTGCAAGAGATTTAGTGCCAGGTGATACAGTCTGCCTCTCAGTGGGAGACAGAGTCCCAGCTGATCTACGATTATTTGAGGTATAGCCCTATATTTGATTTAATATTTAGTAACTTTCTGTGGGACAGAGGGGAAGGGAAAATAGCCACTGAGTACTGAAGAGCAGTGTTCTTGTTTGAGTTCACCACCATCTTGATAGAAAATTTGAAATAATTGCTTTCCAAATGTCACATACATTCTTAACCAATTGTAGTTTCTTACTGTAGGACAGGAGGAAGAATTTTTCAATGTTATGAATAATGTATTCTTTCAAATGCTATTTTTTTCCCCTCAATGTTAAATATGTTGTAAAAACATTGTTTTCAGTCTGAATGCCAAGATATTTTGGCATCTGGTTGAAGGTGGTTTTCACTCTTTATTTGCATTAAATTTTAAGGCATAAGTTCCACTGTTCTCCAATAGTGGAATATCAGAAAAACTTATGAAATTGTGCTGGTGCAATCTTTTCTCTCTGACACTTTTTCATCAGTGTGTGTTCTTATATCTTCTAGTTTACTAAATACTTAATTTGTGGTATTAGCACTGCTGGAAGTGCTTGAGTTGAAGCAATTGCGCTATAGCAATATCTGTATACTTGAACAGTCTCTAAAAATGAAGTGGAACATAGATATATTCACCTGTCATATTTTGGTGGTTTTACTTGAATAATGTTACTTTTCTATCAGATTGGGCATCTTCAGTTTGCTCAGTATCTGGGCTATCTATCCTGTTAAAGTAGTTCCTGGATATAAAAATCTGTATGTCCAGGTTATCCACAGTTGATAGTTAATTAATCAGTGTTTATTTCATAGACAAATTCTAAATTGACTAGTTTCTTGACAAATTTATTTGGATTGTGTTGTTAGCTTCTGTGGTGTAGTTGGTACTTGAGTGGGTTTAATTTTTATGACTACAAGCACTCTGCTTCCTTTGGCAATTGTTCAGTCCCTGCATTGTTATGAAACTGCTGTTGCAGCAGCACCTACTTTCCTGCTTATATCTGATACCGTGCTATGGTAGCAGCATGCTCAGGCCTCTTGCAAAGCAAAGCAGAAATGGAATAAGAAGTTTCTCAGCTGTTTGCAGCCCTTCACTAGATGAGAATTTTTTCCATCGTAAACTGCTCTTGCACATCATTTGAAAATAAGAGCACATCATCTTATTTTCCTATGGTGTCTGCTGGGCATTGCTACAGGATGGTGGGTTGTAGAAGAAATTATATGGAGATCATATTTGCAGAGAAAGAACTAGATTGGTTCTGCATATTTTCATTGTTGCTGTCCTAGAAAACAGTAGAAGTGATAACTAGGCACTCTTGCTTTGGGAAGGGATTTGTACAAGTGAAAACTTTTCCGCACTGGTCCCATTTTTTGGGGATGCTTTTAATTTTTAAAATGAATTTCCAGATCTTTTCTGGCCTAGGTTTTCTGTATGTTAATGGGTGGTCCATCAAGTTTTCTGATCATCTTGTCTAAAGCCAGCATATTGAATCAAAAACTAACATACCTATAACAGTGTAGACTTGAAATACAATTCATTTTGGTAATGGTGATAAATATTTCAGAGCTCGTGGCTAAATTTGAACAGTAGCAAAGTGGCATCCTCATCTTCCATCTTTGACAGCTCTAGGAGTGCTTGTTGCTCTGTAGATCCTTAAAATATTGACATGCCTTATAATATTAATAAATTGGTTATATTTTAATGGTAAAAATTGTGAAACTTACCCTTACACTTTCAAATACTTACAAAATATTGTCCTGGTTTTTTTACCTATTTTGTTTTCAAAGTCTGTGGACCTTTCTATTGATGAATCCAGTCTCACAGGTGAGACAGCTCCTTGCTCTAAATCTACAGCTCCTCAGCCAGCAGCGACTAATGGAGACCTCACTTCTAGGAGCAATATTGCTTTCATGGGGACATTGGTCAGATGTGGAAAAGCAAAGGTAAAATCGTTATTGAGAGAGAAGAGTATGTTCCATGTTTTAACTATTTGAAGGCAGTTCTTATTTTTTAAGTTTATCTCACGGTGATTAATGTGATACTTTCAGAGCTTTTCTCACTGCTGCTTTTTCATACGCTACTTTAGTAAAAAACTATGGCCATGAGAGCTCAAATTCATAGGAAGCAGATGATGTGAAACTGCTCTGTCTAGGTTATGGTGTTTTACTTCTAGAGCTACACTCACGTGTTTGAAAATGTGCAACAGAAAATACGGTTCTGGCTGGTGTTAGGTGTTACCAGTTTGAGTTTTGCTACTGGTAGTTTGTAAGTACTTCAGCAGTGCACAGAAAAGCAATTTGTTTCACTAAGACAAAAGGTTTTCTAAGAAAAATTCTCTTCTTGTGACATGAACTAATTCTATGAACCAAGTTAAAGTTTTTTATTGGGCTAAATGGCATTTGCCCATGATTGGAGTAAAATCTGTCAATAACAACAACTAACATTAAAACTTCAGATTTGACTTGGCTTTATCTTTGTTGCTTTTTGGTTTTTTAGGGGATAGTTATTGGAACAGGAGAAAACTCTGAATTTGGGGAGGTTTTCAAAATGATGCAAGCAGAAGAGGTAAGGGAAGATATTTAGAAGCAAAGACATAGTTTGAAAGTGTGTATTTAATTCATAAACTTTGAATTTATTCCATAGGAACTTAGTTAAACATGCATTGCTTTTAGTATTTCTCTTTCCTCTAGTGAAGCAAATCTCTTAGCTCTTGGACATGAAAGTAGTAATTGAATGCAGTGCAGCAAAATATCTGTAGCTGACCTGAAGATACTAACTGTGAAAATAATACTCTGCACCTCTCTAAATATTTACATAATTTTTTTTTTTTTTGGCTAAAATTGAATTTTCTGTAGATGATTAAAAACATTCCTTCTGATTTATAACTGGCCTTTCAGGGCTCTAATGCCTGTATTTTGAAAATCAGTTTTATTCTTGCTACCAAGAACTTATTTGGTCTTGGAGGAAGTACAGTAGCTTGTAGTTGGCATGATGTGTTGTTTTTTTAATGAAATTTTTTAGAAGACCTTTTATATTAGATTTTTTGTAGATATCACAAAGCCCTAGAACAATATTTCTAATAAATATTTGATTTCATTGAAGTATTTTTGAATCTTATTGAATTCTGGGAAAGAACAGTCTGTTTTCCTGAAGTAGATGCATGGAAACATAGGGTGTAACTGCATCTTATTCACTGACTGTCTTGAATTTTGTATTTGTGAAGTAAAATGTGGTGTAGTTAATTTGTTAACTGCCGCTTGTTTGCCATTCATCAAGGCTCCAAAGACACCTCTGCAGAAAAGCATGGATCTCTTGGGAAAGCAGCTTTCCTTGTATTCCTTTGGCATAATAGGTAAGATAATTTATGTAAAATAATTGGAAAAATTATCTAACGGAAACTAGTGTTGAGGCCTGGGAAATGGAAGACTAAATCTCTAAAAATCTTCTGGCTCCTGATTTCATTGGTCACTTTGAGATTATGTCACTAGTCATCTGAAAATTATAATATGACGTAACTCTATTCATAAGGGTGTTTACTTGCTTCTTTCTGCAAATGTACTTTACGGACTTTTTGTACTCCAGGTATTTCCTTTTAAATTGCAGTGTGTCTTGGATTCTGATTCAAGGTGTGCTTAAGTGAGTACCTCACTTAAAGATATGATTGGGCAACTTGACTGGCTGATACTTTCTTCATCTTTGCCATACTAATGGAATCATGGCAGTGAAATAAATAATAATTTTTTTATAGGTAGCGCAATAGTAAGCTTTGTTCTGGTTATTTGAATTTTTTCTTGTCCCCATGCGGCCAAAGTACATGCTGGTTTTACATTTATCCCCTTGACTGTTTTCTTTATAGGAGTTATTATGTTAGTTGGCTGGTTGCAAGGAAAGCATATCCTTGATATGTTCACAATTGGTGTGAGGTAAGATTTATGTTTTGAAATAATGTAGATCATGCGTTACAGCAAGTGTTTGAAAGCTAGTGTTCTATTTTATAAATATGCTTGCATACACTGCTCTTAACTTAATGTAAGTAATTCAAAATGAAAATAGAAAAGCAAATTCATACATATTTTTAATGATGCAGTGTGTTTTTGTCAGTCTCTTAAACTTTGCATTCCTATGGTGATTTCTGAGTGTCTTGTGGAGCATCTGAAAACAGGCAATAGAGTTGTACTGTTTGAATTTTTGCTGCTGAGTAAATAAAGTAGCTCTAATTTTACAAGGCATATGGCAAAGTTATTGCAAGCTTTGTCATGTAGTTCAATAACTCAACTTCTACTATATTATGCAAACTTAATCCCAGTGTGTTTGCTGAGAACAGCACTGAATTTAGATGGTTTAACTGTACTCCTAGAAAAGTTGTTGGGTTGCTGATTACATGGGTTGTGCATAAGGCAGAAGGGTTTCTTTAAGTGACATGATCAGACTCTGAAGAATTAGGCATTTGTGGAGGGGAGAAAAGAAACCCAGGAACTGCATCTTTGAGCATTTACACTGTCATCAAGATTTTTATTTGTTTGGTTTTAAATGACCTTCAAGGCCATCTCCTCACTTAATTTGCTGCCGCATCATGATCTGGCAGTAGCAATTGTGGATCAGTGGTGCCATTTCCCAGTTCTGTTTAGTGCTGACTACACTTATTCTTCACAATCTGGGCTGCTTTGTGCAGCCCTAATTAGTGTTTTGTGTAGGCAAAACAGATGTACAATTCATTTCTCCCTCTCCCCTACATTTCTTCATACTTTTGCATAAATAAGGAGTAGAAATGATCTAATTGATTTCATTTGTTGCTGTCTTCAGCAGGTTTCTTATAATGATTGCTATACAACTAGAATCACATGACAGCTCCTTCCTTTCTGTTTTAATCTCAGTGACCAGTTAGCTACAGAAACAATGTTCTGAATTTTAAATTCATCATTATTGTGTTTTCCTTTATGACATTCGAAAACAGATCTGTGTATTTACTTTCATTACAGTTTGGCTGTAGCTGCAATCCCTGAAGGACTCCCAATTGTGGTAACGGTGACACTGGCCCTTGGTGTGATGAGAATGGTGAAGAAACGGGCTATTGTAAAAAAGCTGCCTATTGTTGAAACTTTAGGTATGACTAGACTAACTTTGAGATTGTGTTTTTGATGTAAATGTTAGGAAATATTGATGACTAACAAGGAAAACATTAGTTTGCTAGCAGTGTGTTGGCATCTTTAAAATATTTCTGAATTGAATGTGTGTTACACTGGAACAATTCAGGGAGATGTTTCTCTGAGCCTTCTAACTACTTTTCTTGAAGGAATAAAAAATCTGCCAGTTAATAGCATGCATGCTAGCAATGCACTAAACTGATTGTTTGCTGTAAGATGTTCTTGTTAAGTAAGACTTGTAAAATATTTTAAATTAAAACCTTTTGGTGTAAATTTAGAAGTGATATTGAAAGTTGAAAAACCCATATTTGAATATTAAAAAATCATAATGCATCTTCAGGATGTTATGCTGCTCTTATTAGACTGCAAAATCATTTAAAATCTTGAACATTTAAAGAAGTTCTGTATGCAGAACTTCTGTATGTGTAAAGCACAGAACTTGGAAAAGAAATAAAAATACTAAGTTAAATTATTCTGCTGCATCTGAATTCCTTTTTGCAATTTGAAGATTGGGAAATTTTTTCCAGTGCCTCTAGCAGAGTTTTATTAGTGTTGCAAGGCTTTTTGTTGCTTGTACAGCTCCTGCTGTTATGTCCAGAAATGTCAAGATGGTGCAAGTGTCTCAGAATCTCCATTTCAGAGTTAAAAAGGCATATACAAATCTCACATCTTTGTAATCTCTTCAAGCTTATTAAAATTTGCACGTTTATTAGTAAGTCGCACTTGTGACTTACTAGTGTGACATTTGTGTGACACAAATATTGTGTCTAGTGTTAAATACATGTTGTACTTTTTAATAAAGGAGAATGACTTCTGTAAAGCAGGTTCTTAGTTTTTCTCCTTACCAGGAATCACAATTGAGATTTCAGTAATGTAGCTTGAGGTACAGCAGAATAAAATGAAGGAGAGGTACTGAGTGGACACATTTTGTATAAATTGTGAATTTGGGATTTAAATTTGTTTGGAGGGTTTTTTATTTATTGGACAAACTCTCAGAGAACCTTGTGCAGTTAAAAACTTTCTCTCAATTGTTTTTATTCACAGACACTTGCAGTATTTCTAGAAATTTGCTCAGCTTGCATGCTTTTCTCTTTGTTAGTAACTCAGATTGGTCTAAACAAGGATTGTCTTAAAATGTTAATTTGTTATTTCAGGTTGTTGCAATGTCATTTGTTCAGATAAAACTGGAACTCTGACAAAGAATGAAATGACTGTTACCCATATTTTTACCTCTGATGGGCAGCATGCTGAGGTATGTGGTGTGACCCTTAGACTTGAATTTGCCTTTTTTTTTTTTTGTTGTGTGTATCAGCTGAAACATGCTGGACTATACTACAGGTAAGGCATCACTTAATAAAGCATAAATTTATTGCACTAAAGTCCTGTCCCTCAGTTCATTTAGTATGCAGCCTTTGAACTGTGCTATCCAAGCCTTCTCTGGTTACAGAAGTGTTTTTTAATATATGTTAAGTTCTTAAAACATTTGGTGACTGTAGGTCACACACAATAAGAAACAGATGCTAAGATACACAGACAAGTTGAAAAATTGTGTTTTTCTTCAGTACTGAAAGTTGAGATTATTTTGCTGTTTCAGGTACAAAAAAAACCTCCTAAAATTTACATGTTCCAAACATTTAAAGTGGAGATATCCAACTTTTTGTCTAAAAGACAATTTATTGTGTGAAGTATTCATACTGAATATGCACTGTAGTTCTTGCTTTTTTATAATGGGTGGACTTGCATGTAGGAGCAGGACATGAAACAGTGGTTGTTGAGATTCGGGAGTTGCTGGAAAGACCGATGATGTAAATCCACAAAAGAGAAGCAAAAGCAGCAGGAAAAGAAAAGCAGTGAGGTGTGGAACTGCACATGGGTTCATAGGAATGTTTTAATCAAGTTCTTAAATTCTCAAACTCCTTGATCAAAGTTTTGTTTCCACAGTAGAGTTAATAGACCGTCTTGCCATTTTATTCTGCAAGAAAAAATACTGGCATTTTTTCACATTGTTTCCTGTTATTTGCCTATATTTTCTTATATATCCTGATACTTGTTTTTTTTATTGCTAGAAGTCTATATGAATACTGCTAGTAGCACAGTTGCGTCTGGGTCAAATCAGCTCCTTTTTCCTAATGGAAAGAGAACTTAAAATGGCTGTGAAATATATTAGCTGTTAATGCTGTAGATATGAAGATATTTTTTTTAGGATCCTAGTGGATGCCTGGTTTTTATGCACTAAAAATACAGTTTTACTGGTTTTAACACCTTTCTGAGGTGTAACTGAAAGGCTATTCAACAGTTTCTTTTTTTTTTTTTTCTCAATAACTCAATGGAAGTAGGACTCTGCTCTATAATTCCATTCCCCTGCAGGGGGTATGCATTATTAATCAGAGTAAAGAAAAATAGGAGGAAAAAGTTAGAAAGCAAAGGAAAGAAGAAAAGAGAAAGCATGCCTAATTCTGTAAGGAAACAATATAGACTACATTTATTTATGCTGAGGAATAAAATCGATACTGTTTAAAGAAATTAGTCTCTAATATATTTTATTGAATTCAGAGTGTTGCTGCATTAGAATCTAAGTAAGAAGAAGTCATGCACACAGTAAAAGCAGCATTATGAATGGCCTTTTGAAATTCTTCTGTAGTTTATAATAAAGAGCTGAGAGCAGTTAACCTGGTGAACACTACATTGCATGCTGCCTCTGGCTGCTTGTCTTGCAGGTTACTGGAGTAGGTTATAACAGGTTTGGAGAAGTGATGCTCGATGGTGAAGTTATTCATGGTTATAACAACCCATCCATTAGCAAAATTGTGGAGGTAAGATCTTGGCAAAGAAAGGTGAGTTTTAGCTGATGATGTAGCATGAGAGCTTTGTATGACATTTACTTGGTCTTCTGTTTTCTCCTCTTTCCTTCTTTTTTAGGCTGGTTGTGTGTGCAATGATGCCTTGATTAGAAACAACACATTGATGGGGAAGCCAACAGAAGGTGCTTTAATTGCACTTGCTATGAAGGTGTGTACTTGATGGTGCTTTTTGGATTCACGGCAGGTGGGAAATGCGTAGAAATAAGTTGTGGCTTTGTTTTTCTCATTTTCTTCTTTTTTGGATCTCCTAGATTTGTATTGCAACTGCTTATCTCCTTTGTTTGTTTCTTGTAAATCTTGGGCATTCTGAAGGATCAGAAAAAAAATTTACAAGTGAAGTAAAATCTCTATTTTCATATTTTTGCACTTAGTACTGTCTTTTTACCTGCCACTAAGTGATTCACCTGTTGAATATTGACTGTACTGCCTCTTTCCCAGTTTCACATCAGTAGCAGAGGGAAGTTGGTAACTGATATATTGGTGACTGCAGAATTTATAGTTCCTCTAAAGTGCAGGGCTTTTGAATTGTGGACACTGTGCTGAAGTATTTGGGTTTTTTTCTTTTGGGGAGGGAGGGGAGCTGTTGTTGGTTTTTTGCATAATGCTGTGACATGCCCATTACAGCTACTGAGAAATGTAGCAAGGCTCATACTGAAGCCTGAAAGAAGTTTCAGTGTGTTTCCAGTGCTAGTTTGTCAAGAAGTCTACCTAAATTGGAACAGTGTGCTCAAAAGGCAGCTTTGGAGATGAAATTGTTGTTTAATTAAATTATGTTTGCTAACTAAGGTGTTTCAACAAGTCATGAAATTTCATACTTATTTGAAAATAAAAGGTTGTGACATTGTGGTGGTACTTCTGTTTTATTCAGATGGGTTTAGATGGAGTCCAGGAAGACTACATAAGGAAGGCTGAATATCCCTTCAGCTCAGAACAAAAATGGATGGCTGTTAAATGCATTCACAGAACACAGCAGGTAAACTTCAATCACTGTTTCCATGAGCACTGGCTCTGTAGGATTGTTAGCTACCTTGTTTAATATCTTCATTTTTCACTTCAGAATTTTTGGAAGGCTGGCAGTAGTGCAAAGTCCTAGAAATATGGCTTGGTAATAGACACAGCTTTAATTTCAAGCTCTGAAGAAGAGAAAAGGAATCACAAGAAATAATTTCCATAAAAGACATCCTGGGAAATTATTTTAAGTGTTTTCAAAACTGAGACCTTGAATGTATACTTAGCTATTTCTCCTTTTTTCTTCTTCCTTCTCAAGCATCCAAAGCAATTCTGCGAATATTCTGCTGTTCCAGTGCTGCATAGTTACATAACGATTTAAGAGCAAGAATATGCATTGATGAAAACACTAGGTTTCTGGTTTGATGCAGACATCACATCCCCAGTGTTGACAAATTTTATTTATGTCAACAGTGGCATGGATTATCAATAAAACCCACTTTTTAATCTCTTTTTCTGACTTCTCATACTTTCACATACATATGTGCATTCATGTTTCATATAGATCCATATAAATGTTTTTGCTACAAGTATTGACATAATCACTGCCAATCTGATAACTGGAACCTTCTAGACAATATGTGCAACAACACACCTTATATTGGATTTATAAAAAAAATCTTCCAGTGCTTCAGATCAAAACCAGGCTTGCTGACAGTGTTCCAGTATCACTGTAATTAAAATCTGCTTTGGAAAGAAAGTTTGACTCCTTTTAGCTATTTTTAGCAGAAATTGATATAAGATTTTATCCATATAAAGACTTACTGTGCCTGTGTTTTGGAATCAGCAATTTTAAAAAAATGTTGGAAAATTGGTAACAGATTGAAAGAGATCATAAATTATTTGAAGACTAAGAAAATACAGTGGATTTAGAAACTTGGAGCTCTCTTAATCCTGTCATTAAAGATTGAGGTAACTTGACTGCTGTGCATATGAATAACTTCATAGGAAGAAAATAGGTATATTAAAAAAGATCTTTTTAGTTCAGCTGGAGAGAAGATGAGTGATCAGTGATTGGAAATTTAGCTGAGGCAGCAGTTCTTAATGGAAAGGGGGGAAAGGAGAAGGAATGAGTTGATTTAGCATTGGAGTTAAGTGTTTGAGGTAGCTGGTGGACTTTCAGTCCAATGATATCAAGGCTAGATGGCTGTCTGGAAAATATTAGAGTTATTAGGCCTTGTACAAGAATGGAAAGGATGTTCAATGACCTGTGCAGCTGATCTGATGAGGAGCTTAAGGCCTTTCAGGTCTAATGTCCTGTGTAGGTTGAATTTCTGTCCTTTGCATGGCCTCTTACTCTATAAACTGTGACTTGCAGTGCCTGTGTCTGATGTCTGCTGAAATGAGATATTGATTATTAGCTTGGCTCTTTTGACTTTACTACTCTTGAGTGTAGCTGTCTAGAGACACTCAAAAGAACGGATTTTTATGTTTAGAAGTGGAAGTTTGAGTTGCATTATGTTCTTAAGATTGTTAACAAAAGTACACACGTCATTCTTACGTGTCCATGTGTGTGTGCTCTTGTGTATGTGTAGTTATGCATGCACACATGTGCACACAGCAGCTCTTTTTTCTTCTAGGACAAACCTGAGGTTTGCTTTATGAAAGGTGCTTATGAACAAGTCATTAGATACTGTACATCGTATTACTGTAAGGGACAGAGCCTACCCCTGGTGCAACAGCAGAGAGAGCAGTACCAGCAAGAGAAGGTGTCTATGGGTTCTGCAGGGCTTAGAGGTAAGGCTGTTTCAAAAGTCTCTCAAAATATCAATTTCATTTAAATGGCACTGCTTTGTTGTTTAAAAAAAGACCTAAACCAACAACAACAAGCAAGAGCAACCCAAAACACTGGGATCTTTTTTGTTTGGTTGGTTGGTTTTTTTTTTGTTCAGTAAGTGCCACTGTGTTTAGTTTTTACGTCTGTATAATGCCGTGATTAAACTGCAGAGGGTGAGAAAGGGTGCTGTTGCTTTCTGTCATCTCTTGCATGTGACCATAACTGAACAGTACATTGCTGCTTAATGGCTTCCATACCTTATTATAGATGCCTGTGGGTTTTTTTTTTAATGTGAATTTCTTTATTTGTCCATTACTTTGGCTCCTGTCACCTTCATGAGTTAGGCTAGCACAACTGATTGCAGGTCAGGAGATGTCATTAGAATTAATTATCTTCTGTGTTAACTAGCTGTGTAGAATTTTAGATAAAACAAAATGTTTTTCACAAGATGATTGATAGGAGTTGATTATACATGACTGGCTTTTTTTGGCCTCTGTAAAGACATCTCTAGGCTGTGAAGTCCATGCACAGCTCTTTAATTTTAGAATTTTTTTTATTTTTAAAGAGAGGAAATTACTAAGATGAAAATTATTAGAAGCTGAGAGGATATGCTAGGAGTGGTATTTTTTTGCTGTTTTATTTGAAAAGTCATTTGTTCTGTCTGTCAAAAACATCAAGGATAATGTTTTGAAAAGAGCAAACTTGCTTTTTCCTTACACCTCTAGTGACATTTAAATATGTTTGAATTAAGAATCCTACTTGGAAAGACATTCCAGAAAATACTCAGCATGTACTTAATGAAATCTGCCTCTCAAAAGGTAAAAAAAAAACTAAAGCAGAAAATAAATATGTTAACTGATCCTCCCTTTCATCCTCATGCATAAAAGAAACACACAGAGAAATCAGAAAGCTTGATGTGGTTCTCTTTCCCCAATGTCAAAATGTAAACACTTTCAGATGAGAATAAATAGGAAAGTTGTCTTTCAAGCTTGGCTGTTTGGTAAGGAGTTCTTTAGAAGACAAGAGTGTACCTAAGTAGGCTATTGTGAATGCTCAGCATTGCTACTACCAAAGTTTTAAAAAAAAGAAAATATCAATTCCAGCCCTTTGCTTTATGCTGACCTGTTAGTTAGAAGCAGTTGTTTTAAATGCTGACGTAAACATTAATTTCAAATCTTAACATTTTTTTTTCTTAAAGTTCTGGCCTTAGCTTCTGGTCCTGAGTTAGGACAGCTGACTTTTTTGGGGCTTGTGGGAATAATTGATCCCCCGCGGACTGGTGTAAAAGAAGCTGTTACTACACTCATCACCTCAGGAGTTGCAATAAAAATGGTTACTGGAGATTCACAGGAAACCGCAGTTGCCATTGGTATGAATAGTTCACTTCCTTTCAAATTTTCTTGTTTTCTCCTTAGCTAATTGAGTTCTGTATTTTGGATTAATGTATGGCACAGTGGAATTAGCAGGGAAAAAGACCCAAAAAACCCATGACTCTAAGCCTGAAGTGATACTTTGGTTTCAGCTTGAATAGCACCTTTTCCAGTGACTTTGGCTGCTTGAAACTGTATTTTTCATGTTGTTTACTTATTACATATGCTTGTTTCTGGTTCTTACTGTTACATCACCACCACCACCCTGCCTACCCTCAGCTTTAGGTGCCTGTCTCTGACAGCAGGGATGGACTAAAAGAGCCAGTGACAAGGAATGTATGGAATGTATGGCACTTCAGTGCTGTCTAGTACAGTTTTGTCCATATAACTAAGTTTGAAACTTAAATATTACTAATAAATATATAAACAAACTACTTAACTTCTTTTTACAATACAATGCATTAAAGAACAAGCACTTTAGCCAGAATAAGAATTCTTTACAAACAGATGATGAACAGTTGAGTGTGCACAAGAAGAGTATACCCCTAAACTCAGAATAGTTTATCAGAGATTTTTTTCTTTCCCTTGTCTCCCTCATGTTATTTTTGATTTTCTGTTGGGTTATTTCTGAACTGTAAATTCTTTGAGAGGACTAAACTCCTCTTTTTGTTTATATGACACCTGACAGAATCAACTACAGACCTTTAGACCTAAAAAGACTAAGCAAATATCTGGTTTAGGATAGACTTTGTAGCATGTTGTTGTTACTCAAGAGTTCATCTAATTTACTCCAACATACTGAATCAATAATGTAGGAGGATGTTCTGCTCTGGGTATTTAAAATCTGAAATGCTGCAGAAAATATTAGGATTAGAAAAAAAAAAAAAAAAAAGGGTACTTAATGTCTTAAAATGGCAAATTGTTATAATAAGGTTTTTTATGATTTTTTTTTTACAGCTAGTCGACTAGGATTGTATTCCAAAAATTCACAGGCAATCTCTGGAGAAGAGATAGATGATTTGGATATTCAGCAGCTTTCTCAAATAACACCAAAGGTTTGTTTTGATGTGCTACTTACTGAATGTGGCAAAGGATAAATTTACTTACTGAGAAATGCTTGTTGTCCTGTGGCAAGCTAAAATGTAATTTCAGAGTGACAAATAATATTGTTCTAATAAGTATCTTTTGGTCTGACATATGACCAATATGAAAATCTATTTCTTTCGACTTACACTGTTATATTTTTAGATATACAAAGATAAAGAATAAATTGCTTCTGTCTCTTTTAATGATTCAGGGTTTTTTTATCTTTAACTTTCATTTTGCCACCTCTTAGTGAACATAACCTTTTTGTATTAGTAGGCCATTTTATTTCTGAGCAACTCAGTTCATTTATATAATCTTAGAGTCTGCATGTTCAGACAGTTCATTATTTTGTAATTTGTAAGGCATGTCTGTGTTTTTAATGATTTTGATTGATCTGAGGTCACTAGTTGGGAACTTTGAAAGGGTCTATTTATTAAGTTACTGCTTAATACTTTTTAGTTATTAAATAACTAAATGGATTAACCAGTGTCCAGGTTATGAATGTTAAGACATAATCAAATGCAATAGAGGTTCAGGTTTAGCTATGTTGCAAAATTCTTACATCAAAATGCTGCCCTGTTTGCAAAGGACTGAAAAATTAGACTGCAGCATGTTTGAGTCTGGTGTAAGCAAGCCAAAAGCCAATACTTGCGATCAAGAAATGTGCATGTCATCTTTCTGTCTTTTCTTAGTGACTCAAGAAACTGGGAAAAAGCAAGAATTGTGTGGCAAATAGTAATTTTTGGTTTATGTGTTCTTAAGGGCTGTCTACATTAAATAACTGAAATAGGTACAAATTTACTTACACGTGGTTGACCTTTGACTCAATTGCTTTTCTGGGCGTTTGCTTAAAATCTTACTAGGAATTAAAATCAACCAATAAGATTGATGGCTGTATAGAGTCTAAACTGATTGGTGGGAAATCTAGCTCTTTGTCAGGCATCTTGGAAAGGAAAAATGCTAACTACATGGAGATTATGGAAAACTAAATTCCATATGCTCAAATTTCAATTTACAGAGAAGTCCAGAGACCAAGAAAAATCTGAAAATTGGTCCTTCCAAGTTAGATTTTTAAATTCTCTTTAAAAGTTCAATTGTTAATAATATGCTATAAAGTAGTAAGACTGAAATATCCTGAGTAGCTTGTCACTTGTGCTGACAAGTGAAAAAGGATGTTGACTGTAGAGTCAGCAGCACAATTGCCTGCATGAATTTAGTCAGGAAGGCCAGCAGCAAGCCATTATATCTCAGTTACTTAATTATTTTAGAAGGCTTTTAAATTGTACGTTCTATCTTGAAATAAGTAGCACTAACTTTGTTTACAAGCACACACTTTGAATCTTCTCTAAAATTAATGATTTCATTCAATTAAAAACAAAGCTCACTGGTGCCTCAGTTTAAGAGCTAACAAGGATACTGTTGGCCTTTGATTGTATATTTTATCCTCTACCTTAAGAGAATCCAATGCAATTCTTTACATATCTGAAATTTTCACCACTACTTCATTGCTCTTTTGATAGGTTGCAGTATTCTACAGAGCCAGTCCCCGACATAAATTGAAAATTATAAAGGTACGTTTTACAAAGACTCAAATGCTGGTCTGTTGCTGTGGGTATTGCCTATGCTGCCTTTACTTTAAACCATAATGCTACACTAACTTTACTATACACTAAACTATAGTGCTACAGTGTGTCAAGATGACATCAGATATGCATCTGATTTGGCAGTGAAGTGTACTTGAAAATATTACCTAGAAAAATGCATAGTGCCCACAAGGAATAGGTGGCTAACATTTGGCTTTCTTCTAAGCAGGGAGCTGGGCACTGATTCAGATTTTGTGTCACGTTGCAGTTGAATTGACTAGGAGCTTGAAAGAACCGTATTTCTGATACTTGTCAGATGAGATAAAAGGGAATGAATTTCAAGCCATGTCTGTGGCAATGCCTCTATTCAGAAGTTAACAAAAGAAGGTAGCAAAGAAGGAGGGACTCAGTGTAACAGTTGGAAAAATCAGAAAAGTAACAATAAGAAGAAGTCAAAGCACTGAGACCATAGGGATGCATGCAAGACTTATAAGAAGGTGATAATGGTAATACCAATACCGAAATACAGTATCTTCTTTCTCTAGAGTTTTTTTTCTTTCCCCTTAAAGGCAAATTCTATCTACCTGAGCTTTAAAATTTAGGCTGTCTGAATATACGAATAGAAGTTTAACCCAGAATCTTGTAGAACAGAAGGAGCTGTTTTTTTCTATAGGACATTCCAGTTCAACTACAAGAAATGGGGGAGGGGGAGCAGTGACACAAACCTTGTATCTAGAATAATTTTATAGGATGGGTTATTTCAATCCCTGATTTAAGTTCTTTTCCCTCTCTTTAGTCCCTGCAAAATAATGGTGCTGTGGTAGCTATGACAGGAGATGGAGTGAATGATGCTGTTGCTTTGAAGGCTGCAGATATTGGTGTAGCCATGGGACAAACTGGAACAGATGTTTGTAAAGAGGCAGCAGATATGATCCTCGTGGATGATGATTTTCAGACAATAATGTAGGTGGCCTTTATGTACATATCTTGTACTTTAATATAGTTTATATATAGTTTTATATACTTTTATATAGCTTTAATAAGATGTTGCCTGGGTTAAACAAATAGAAGTTTTCCTGAACTTGTAAATGAGTTTTCTGCTCAGTCAGGAGTATTAGCATGTTTGGAAACATAACTGAGGTGAAATTGTGAGTCTGTTAGTGGTTAATAAATTTCATTCAATTTTGTACTTCAGAAGCATAAAACTAAGGAAAAAATAACAGCATTCTACTCAAGATTACGTAGATCTCCATTTGTTTTCAACTCTTAAATGTGATAATTTCAGAAAAGGAAAAATATTGATTATTTAGATATCACAGGTGAAAATAGGTTATTAGTGTCTGGTAACCAGCTGTTTGTACTTGTTCATTTTTGGTTGGTGTATTTCAAAAAGAGCTTAGCTAAACTTTTCCTCTTTTGACTGTAATTCATCTGACTTTTGAAGATAGTGATTGTTGACAGAGCTGAACTGCTGTCTGGCAAAATAGCCTTCATTTTGAAATTATGCATCAATCCCAGAACACTTCACTTCCCAAAGTATGACATTTAACCCTTGGAAAGAAGTGAAATGAAGAAGTACAGTATAAGAAAATCTACCTATGTAGCAGTATGTCAGAAGATGATCTAAGGTTGTCACATTAATTCAGCCAACAGAAATGTGCTGTTATGCAAAAACATAACAGAGGAGGGAATAATTTTAACATAGGCAGAAGAGTACATAGGAAGAACATCTGTAGTAAGTACCTTACATGGACTTGGTGAGGTTTTTGCTGGACTGGGTTATCCAATTTTGCTCACTTCATCAGGAGAGTTCTCAACAGGAGAGAGAAGTGTGATGAATGCTAAGGAAAAAAAAGAAGTATGAACTTCCATAGTTTTACTTATTTTCCCCACCCTTTTAATTATTTTTAAGCTACTGAAGGAATGCTGTTTAAGTATTGGGGGAGTGTAAGAAAAAAAATCAGTTTTATTTGCAGAAAAGCAGGCTTGATTTGGGTACCAGAAAATCCTTTCTCACTGCAGTAATTGTGATAGTGTGATAGTCAAGTTGTGACATGCTAGGGGTTGTGAAAATAGTTGGTACATATTTCATTCTGGTACAGGAAGAATACATGGCCCTCTAAAGCCATGCTGTATTTCTGGGGTTTTTTAAAAGTGTGTGTATGTGTGGGGAGTTGTTGGGTTTTTGGGTTTTGTTTTTCTTTAATTATCTGACTTGATTTAGATCAAAGATGGTGGTGAATTTTGAACATAGAGGAAATCTTACTCTAATAATTATATTTTCAAAGTTAAGCATGCGTAAAAAATAACTTGTGATTATTCACAATCAAAGAATAATTTGAGTTCTTATAGTCAAGTTGAAAAACAATGACTGCCAAAGTTAAAAGAACCTCAGCTCAATTTGTTTCTTGCTGGTTTTATTGCTGCTTAAATTAATACTTTTTTTAGGTTTTTTAAGCTTTTCTTGGCATTAGATTTACTTGTCTTGTAATGTAATCTTTGTTTTTAATTACAGGTCTGCAATTGAAGAGGGTAAAGGAATTTATAATAATATAAAAAATTTTGTTAGATTTCAACTGAGCACGTAAGTTTAAAAAGCTGACAGTATCAGATATTTCTTGTGAATGAACCAAAGCATGAAGCAAAGGCATAAATTCATGTTAATAATGTAAATTTCAAGTAGAATGCTGATACATGGTGCTTTTAAATTTTCACTATTTTGTGTTTGGTGGCTTGTTTTGTTTTTAAAGGCACAGAAGATAGTGCAATAAATAGTGACATGTAAGTTTGTCACAGATCTTCCTGTTGAGATGTGTAAAGTCAGTTACTGAAGGGATAATGAGAAACAGCAGAGCTGCCTTTGGGTCCCTGTTTAAAGGAGAAGCTGGTAGTCAGTCCCTCCTTAACCAGTACATGTATTCAAAGGGAGGAAACCAGGGAATCAGGGGGTTAGTTTTTCTGAAATACATGTACTGGCTTGTGAAATGAGCTAACTATATAAAGCTGATTTTGTTTTCTTGCACATAAGGATTCATGTGCTAGCTACATAATGTGTATGCAAGACAAGAGGACAAGAGTTTATTAAGCCTTAGTTTCAAATTTTTTGTGAGCTTATCTTATTGGATCTGGACTCAGGGACATGTTTTTTCTCTTCGGCATGTCATTCATATACTTTTTTGAAGCTTTCATGACATTGCAGAGTGGTCAGAAGTTAAAAATAACCAAAAACAACCAAATCTAAAACTTCAAATAAAACAAACCCAAAAAAGCCCCACAAAAAAACCCAACCCAGAAACAACAAGTACTACCCAAAAAAACCTCCAGAACAACACAAAATTCACAACAAAACCCAGAAAAGATCAATTTGTTTACCTGCATAAATACTCTTAAGAGGTGATACATACTTTCAGTCTTACCAAGTGTCCTGTCTAGTCTTACCAAGACTGGACTAGGAATCTGCTGCTGAAAAATAACTAATCACAGATGTTCTAAGGAAGTGTGCTTACCTATTTTTGATGAATCCCTTTGTTTTTATCCTGTCCCTCTTTGCAGGGAGAGCCTAATAGGGTTCAGTACAGAGCTAAATTTGGAATTATTGTAAGCCTTACTTTCTTCTTCTTGGTTATGAAACCTCTTAATCTTGCACTGAGAGCAGTTAGTGCATACTTGTTTACAGAGGTTTCTAATGCCAAGCTTGCAGCCAGCTAATCTGTTTTTCAGCCTTGGGCCTGGCCTTCTCATCTTGCTAGTAATAAGGAGTGGTTGTAGGTATTTTAAGGGAGCTTGAGTAGTACCTTGCCTTGACTGATGAGGCAAACCAGGGACAGGTGCACAGAGTGAGTTTGTTTACATCAGGAATGGAAAATCAGTTTATTTTTCAATACCATATTTCAAAATTCCACTTCTGGCACAAGAAAAAGTATAGGACTCAGTTCCCCATAAAAAAATCAATTAGGTGATGGTGAGTGATAATTCTGAAATGTTACCTAAAAGTTTGGGAGGTTTTAAAATGTAAATTTGCTATCTTTTTATTGCCAGAACAATGCTGTTTTAAATACTGGTTGTGTCAGAATGAGTATTTGAAAGGATTTCATGCTCTGCCTTTAAAGTTCTACTTAACATCAGTCATGATTCACACTGTCAAAATATGTATCTACTCTTAAATAATTGAAGTGTTGATTACAAAGCAGTTATCAGTGGATCTTGAGAAATGTTCAATGCTGACAGTTGTAAAAATGGATTCTTTCAACAGGAGTATAGCAGCACTGACTTTAATCTCACTGGCTACATTAATGAACTTTCCTAATCCTCTCAATGCCATGCAGATCTTATGGATCAATATTATTATGGATGGACCTCCAGCTCAAAGGTAAGTAATTACTCTTAATTCTGTTAGGTTCTGTAGTCCTTCTATTTCAGCAAGGGAAATGGTTGCTCATAAAGGAAACTGTGAAGTGTTAAACTTCAGTGAGATGCTTTAGAAATAGCAAACTTTCCTCTACAACTCCCTGAAAGGTGGATGTAGTCAGGTGAGGGTTGGTATCTCTCTCCAGACAGCAACTGACAGCATGAGAGGACACAGCCTTAAGCTGCACCAAGGGTTGGATATTAGTAAAACCTTCTTTTTATGGAAAGAATGATAAAGTACTGGAATTGTCTGCCCAGGGAGGTGGTGGAGTCACCATCCCTGGATATGTTTAAGAAAAGATCAGATGTGGCACTTGCTGCCATGGTTTAGTTGAGTTGTCAGGGCATGGGTTGGACTTGATGATTTTGAAGGTCTCTTCCAATCCAGTGATTCTGTGTGAAATTTCTCTGTGAACTTCAATGTTTGCAGTATGTTTTTGTGTTTATTCTATTAAGTTTGCTTTCATGTCTACTTATATGGGGGCAGCAAGGATACCTAAAGATCCATGGATATGCCCATGAAACTTGCATGCAGGATTCTGGCTTCCCGCTGGGTTTTTCCTCTGACTCTCTACTGCAAGTAGATGGTGGAGTGAGAGTTAGTGAGAAAGTAGCATTAAGTCCTCTTTTTTTTCAACTCGGAAAATCTATTTCTTAAGTTAGAAACAGTGAATTAATTTTATGATGATAAAAATGCAAAATGTTCTTTTAATTGTAAGCCTTGGGGTGGAGCCTGTGGATAAAGATATTATTCAAAAACCTCCAAGAAATCTGAAGGACAGCATTCTGACCAAAAACCTGATTGTTAAAATACTGGTTTCATCAATAATTATCGTCTGTGGAACACTGTTCGTCTTCTGGAGAGAGGTATGACAAAAGTGCAAAACTTAGAGCAGTAACAACCTAATTTAAAAGAAAGCCTTTTTATACCAGCAGTTGAAATTCAGAGTTAATATGAACTTAGTCGTGAGTTTTGGCCATGCTTATTTAATACTAGAATAGAGAGGAAGATTTTCAAAACAGTTGTTGAAAAGCGAAATACAGTTTTATTCTCCAGTCTCTATTTTAACGTAGACTTTTTCAGGTTCCAAATCTATTTTGGAAGCTTTGCTCATAGAAAGTAATTATGTAAATCTTCTAACCAGATTTTTGTTTTCCCTGTAGAGAAAATTGTGGGAACATTTGGTAGTGCATCATAGAATTCCTGCTGTTCCATGTGCTTTTATAAATACTGGTCAGGAGTCTTCATTTAATCATAGCTTGGAATTACAAATTTTTATAAACTACAAGTGTGTAATATTTGCCATATGATTTAATAAATTAGCTTGGGGTAAGCAAGTTACTTTTGCTTTTATTTCCTAACTAGTAAAACTTATTTTAGAATTATTGTAATAATTTTGTTTAATTTACTTTATTATGGAGGGTTTGAAGCATACTAAAGCCATTTCATTTTATTTTGTTGGCAGTTAAGAGACAATGTAATAACACCACGAGATACAACCATGACTTTCACCTGTTTTGTATTTTTTGATATGTTCAATGCTTTGAGTTCTAGATCTCAGGTATGTGATTCATATTGTCCATTGACACAGTATTAACACGATAATCAGAGTTTTCTTTGAGGGAAGATCTTGCTGTGTTTGTTTCAAGTGTTTTCCTGCAGATTTTCCTGCAGATTTACTTCACATCTGGTATTAAGCTCAGAGTTTCATGTGTTTATTAGGTAGGATTTCTTAAATTACAAATAAGTTGATTATTTAATTTGTTTAAACTGGTGGTGTCCTAACAAAGGCAAGAAAGTTGTGATTAAGAGGTGAAGTGTGATGGTCCTTTGTATTGCTGTGATTGTTTTTTCTCTTCCTGGAAATTCTATCAGTTCAGCAGCCTTACCAGAATGTGAAATTTCTTGAAAGCCTTAGCTTTTCTGTTTTGTAATCCTAAACCCATAGTCCAAGGGAAATTTCTGAAACTGTTACTTATTTTTTATCTGTGTATAATTTTTCATTTTAAGGGAACAAGTCTGAAATTTTGTGATAGTATAGATTACTACATTTACTGTAATTTGCAGTCTTATCTGTTATGGCATAGTGTAGGGGTAACGTTTTTCTGATGAACTGTACTTGTGGGATAGTGGGATCAATATACAGGTTGTTGACTATGAAGACAATACTTGTAATCTATTTACCAGGGAGAAAATGCAATTAGCCTATTCAAGAACTTGTTCTGGATTGTCTAAGAAGTCAAGAGTAATATTTTATATTTTTCTAAAAATTTGGATGAAAAGAAATCATATTTTCTTGTCTAGATAATTAAGATTACATGTACCTTGTAACATATTATTATTTTTACAGACAAAATCTGTGTTTGAGATTGGACTTTGCAGTAACAAAATGTTCTGCTATGCTGTCCTTGGATCTATAATGGGGCAGTTATTGGTCATTTACTTTCCTCCACTTCAGAAGGTTTTCCAAACAGAGAGCCTGAGTGTCTTGGGTAAGAACAGTTCCCTTTTCAAAACTGTGCATTAAGGATTAATTTATAAATGTGGTGGGTAGTGGTTCTGTAAGAGCATTTTCTGGTGTTTGCATACAACAGGATTGTAATAAGGAATGAAATAAATAAGCCTGATGATGTTTTTTGTTTTGTGGGTAGGGTTTTTGGGGGATTTTGTTTGTTTTATTGATTTGTTTTTGACTTTTTGAATCATTCTAGATGTTTTCTTTGGGAACCATTATTTAAATGCATATGGTACATAATTGACCAGTGTGTTCTTAAATTTTTATAAAGGTGTTTATTTATTTGGGAGTTTTTAATATAATTTTTGTTGCAGGCAAAATTATTGACTTTGTAGGTTTTTGAGCATTGTTAATTTAATTAGTTCATAACTTTTTTCTTTAAATATAAACATCTTATTTAGAAATCCTGATCCTTTAATATTGATTGGATTGTCATAGGGTAAATAAACAGGAGGAGTTTAAAAAGCTATAGATACATAATGCTGTTGGCCTCATTAAGACTTAGATTTATTACTTCTGTAGTTTTCTGGAGTTAAGTGATTGTAACGAAATACATGTATTTATTGTAGCACAATTTCTGATGTTATTAATATTATTTTTCAGAATTTAATTATATTGTATTTACTGTAGCACAATTTCTGATGTTATTAATACTATTTTTCAGAATTTAGTTAATTATATTGCTGAAAATGTTTATGAAATCCTTTAAAAGCTTTTAATATATTGTGCGTAGTTACGATTTGAGCATAAACCATGCATGTTAATCTTCTGCGCCTGCAAAAGTTTGAATCTTGCTTAATTTGTCCTGAACTTTGCCAATGATTTGGAGAAAATTTGAAAGTCTTGTCTCGTTCTCTTTTAAGTCTCCCCTCAGCCTTAAATAGCAATTTTAAAGAAGGCTAATTATCTCTTCCAGATTTACTGTTTCTTCTGGGACTCACTTCTTCTGTGTGCATAGTGACTGAGCTAATAAAGAAGTTTGAAAGAAGCAAGGAAAAGATCCAGAAACGTGGAAGTTCTTCTTCATCAACTTCGTCTTTTCTTGATGTATGATGCATATTGCATTCTTGTGTTTGAAAACTTAGTGATTGCTGTCTAAAGATGTTGGAGAAAGCAAAACACTATCTGGAGGATAAAAGAAATCCTGAGGGCTTTTGACAAGTCCTGTGTTTCACTGGCTAATGATGAACTTCATGTTTCAAGACTGTTTAGAATTTAACTTCCAGCTGTGGAAGTAACAAATGAAATTATGCAACTTTGGTAACATTTTTCCTCAAACATGAATTTACTTTTAAGATTGAATGGTATTGTGGGGGGGAGAGGGCAGGGGTTAATTTAAAGGAAGATCTAAGCCCAAGTCCCATTTTCTGCACTTAAAAGATATAACTGTGTAAAATCCTTCTCTTAGATATAAATATTTTAGTTTGTTTTTATTTAAAACATTGTACTATTCTACTTTTATGGTGATGGGACTTTGCTACTAATACAAGGATAAAAATATTTCAGAGGCATTCCACTGGGTTTAGAGTCTGTCACAAGAGTGCCATATTCTAGCTACTGTATTTATTTACTTTATCCTGCAATGTGTAAGCGGCTCAAGTACCTTGTGCTACAGTTTTTTTTGTATCCCAAGTTTGGTTTTTTTTTGCACAGGATGTGACCGCTATCGGATCACTGTTTTTCTTTTCTTTTTCTGTGATTGAAAAGCCTATACTGCAATTTTAAGTAAATGTTTGCTTTTCTTATAAGTGTGTTGTCTCTTTGTTTTAAAAGAAGCTGGCATTTACATGAAGTGAATGAGCTTGTTCTGATGTGATTGCAGGTAAAGGCTTTGTTTCATGCCTTATTCCATATTGACTTTAGCTTATGACTGTGAGATCACTTGAGTAATTTATAAGACAGTAATTATGGGAATTATTTGTGTGTACTGAATTAGAAAATTCTCACTGGGCAAAAAAAACCCATCCCTCTTTCAAAGAAGCTTCATTTTCCTTCCTTCTTCCTATTAATAAAAAAAAAAACATTTTCCTGGTAGGGTAACTTTGAATTTTAACCCACAGAATTACTTTTAGAGCTAGAAAAACATTATCATAGATTTATTTTGACATTGTAAAATTATTTTTAATATATTACAGTGTCTGAATACTCTAATATTCACTAATTGGAAATAGTGCTTTTTCTCAAAATAGTCTTGCTCTGTTGTCATCACTCATCCTTTCAGGAAATGCAAGGAACTATCACCTAAAGCATCTTGAAAAGAGGATGTCTGAAGATCGCTAGGGGAAGTCAAAGACACAGTGGTATCTCTTTCTCTTGTAAACTTGTGCATGTGCATCTCTCCTCAGTGTTGCCTGAAAATGTGACAGTGGCATTGGCTCTGGCCCATGCTGTCACAGTGAGGAGGAATTGTCATGAACAGACACTGGGATATTTCTGCACTTGCCATTGCGAGTTGCCCCACATGCCATGTTTGAAAGCACAGTATGAATTTCCCTGTTAATGTTACTGGAATTGTAATTCTTCCTTTTGCCTGTAGGATTCCTAGATTTCCCCTTTGCCAGGAAAAGGGGCTGCAGACAGGGCATGAATGCACATTCAGTCTGCTTTATAGAAGCAGTTCATCCATGGCTCCTCCTGACCCTCAATATGCCCATAATCCCTGGACTACCAATGTGCTGGAGATGTGATTGTGTAAAGACAAAGATCCTGTAGCACTTGGCCCTCATCTCTTCCTGGGCTTGTTATCACTGAGCTGGAAAGGCCTGAACAACTTGACCTCTTAGAGAAATGCTCTCGTGTCTTCAAGTAAAAGCTTCTTACTTGCAGCAGTTCGGCCTTTCAGAAGTTGGACAAATTTGACAGTTGTTGAACAATTACTGTCTTTGGCAAGTGGGGCTGTAGCTGTTCAATATTGTAGTATGTTCAGTATTTCAACAGAATTTCAGAACACTTCATTAATAAAATCCTTATTATTCATTAATAAAGACAGATAGTAAAAGCTGATAGTGCATGCTGACAAAGAATCTTGAAGAAACTTTGATTTTGTGAAGGGACACAGCTATAGCTTTCACATAATAAGTCTTAACCTGTGGTTGATATTCTTCTATGGGATTTGACTGTTTTGTGCTCTGCTTTTTGTCTTGGAGTCCCAGAAATCTAGGTAAGTACAGATGAACGCTGGATTGTTTTCTTAGCTTGGAATGTCATTACTGAGTCTTTAAACAAATATTACCGAGTGCCCCTTTCCCATTACAAGTCACACTTTCTGACTAAGGATGTCATTCTAAATAAAATTTCAGTCTATTAAGGACAATTTTGCCTTATTGCAGGGTAGGCTTAGTTGAATGTAGTTCACTTAAATTTGCTAGAAGTTTTGGTGCTGTGTTTTCCAATGGAAGGCAAAATACTAACAAATAATAAATCTTGTTCAATGTCATTATATATAAAACATGCCTGGACTGAATTCCATTGCCATTATTTTGGCTCCTCTTGTGATTCACTACCACTTTACAGCAGGTTTGAGAGATTTTTTTTTTTTTCTCCAGAGCAGTTGACTCATTAGTGGGAACTTTACATAAAAAGAGGCATTTCTTATGGGATAGAAATAAGCAACAACCGAGGAATTTACCTGCTTCTACTGAAGCATGGAATAAAGAATTTTGGTTTTAATAAGTAAAGGCCCTTTATTTTTTAAATTTCCTACAAAGAAGATGGAAGTCCTATAATGAGTCAAAAAGGAAAACTGTAGTACTTTAAATTCTTCATGGTAATCCTAGAATCAGTAATTACTTTTTTCAGCCTACAGGACTGGGTTTTGCAATGAGTGTGTATCATTTCATTAGCAATAAAGAACAGCCGAGTTCTGCATTGAGAACATATTTCCACTACAGTAATTAGCTGAATCAGCTTTCCCAAGGGTATTCTCAAAATGCCATGTGGTCATAGCAATGTTTTTATCCCGAAGAGGAATATTTGACTTGATTTTAGTTTTCTGAATTATCTAATTGAAAATATGACTTCTTATAAAGTCTCAAGAATTTTTACGACCTCCAGCAGTTTTCTGATGTGGGATTTAGAGTAAATGAAGAGCTCTCTTCTCACCAGCACTAAGGAAGTGGACTCAAATACCTGTGTTTTTATATTTAAGACTTATTATGCATGTGACTATTTCTGATGATTAAAAATTAGGGAATTACAAGCTTGCTAAAATAAAACATATGGGCTCATAATGGAGAAGAGGATGATTTGAACAATTAAGAATTTCAGTTTTACTTAGTAAAATCAGTCACTGCAACTGCTTTCAACTTTTAAGTAAAAGTCATCTGATGGAAATGTGATGCTGTAGGATGCTGTACACAGAAACCTACAGAGAAATGGGTTCTGGTGTGTAGATGTACGTGCCATCTGCTGGTAGTACAGTAAGTAGCAGCTTTTGTAATGGAAAAAGTTAGATCTTGCTAGGACAGGCTGTATCTCAAAACTAGTTTTCTCTTTAATGTAACATAGCTCTGTTCTTTTCTCATTGACTGTTATTTGGGCAGTATCAGCACTCAGCTGTACAGTACAGGAGATCTTTCCTCTAAACCCTAAGATATGGTGAGTAACTTCCATGGGAACAGAGGTAATATGGAGCATAAGCAGGACTAAAAACTTGAGCACACAATGCAGGAATCAAGTTTTGAATTCTCTAAGTTATGGGCAAACCTTTGATGATGAGAGGTGAAAGTAATGATTTTCCTATATGCAAGAAAAGATATGTGGATTCTTGAGAAGAAAAAACGCAATGTAACTAAATTTTACATAGGGAAAACCAGTAGTTTAATATGGAAAGTATTTATATAAATTGACTAATTATGCTGGAAAGTTTGCTAATGCAAAGGACTGAGAAACAGATGATGTAGGATTTAAAAAAAAAAATTATAGATTGTTTTTCAGCACTACTATGTTGATAGCAAGGTTTATCAAGTAATTAGTGTACACAGGGAAGTCAGAACAGATCTGGTTTTTAATCCAACCATTGTAGAAAGAATAGAGTGACAACAGCTTAATAGCAGAGGATTGTACACAATCACTGTGACAACTACTGAGAATTAGCAAACCTGTAGAAACTTGCTCCCATGTGACAGCTTTGTGTGTGCATGTAACTCTAACACATCACAGGGGGAAGGGGGAGAAATAAAATCTGAAGTTTTTCCCTGAGTATTGACAGAATCTCTAATACTGCAAGCACAACTTACTCAGTTGTCACTGAGCAAAGCTACCTCTCCCTGCAAGTAAAAGTACTCCAACAGTAATGACTGATTTTATAATAATTTTAAAACTGTCAATTTCCATTTTAATCTCAACTTTTAGACTGTGACCACTGTGTTCCTCAAACACAAACTTTAAAGTTAGATGTTTTGTAAATGAAGTGTTCAGGGAAATGAGACAGAGCCAACTATAAATGTTCAGGAACATAATTCCTCTAAAATAGTCCTACTTTGAAATGCTAAACAACTTTGCTCTAATTTTTAATTAGACTGATACCCTTAAAGAAAAACACCACAACTTTTAGACAGCATTTCTTTTATACAAATGTAAGTTACAAAAATATAAATAAAAAATCACCTGAAGCAAGGTTTTTTGGTAAAGATTGAATCAAGAACTCGTGTGAAAACAGCTGAACAAGTTCCAATACAGTCCAATATTTTAATGCTACTTCTTTCACCAGTAAGGCATTAGAAGTTATTCCAAGAATAGTGCTTTCAGTCATCCACTTCCAGTGCTGCAAACCTATTAACATTGCATAAATGCTGAGTTTCTGCACATCTGGTGGCTGTTTTTTTCTTGCTAGATGTTTTCCTCTTCTTGCAGGACTTTGATCTGGTCTTGGTCATCTTCTGAAAGAAGTCTGGAGAGACCACTGACTCCACTGTATTTAACAAAACCAGATAAATCTGAGCCATTTTTGGAGATAACATAAATAGATTTTCCACTGAAGCTGCTGATTTAAGCTCTTGATACAGTCTGTGCACAAGGGTCCCAGTGTAAAGCCTGCTCAAAAGAAGGAGAGGACCTGCATTTAGAATTAAACCCCAACAGAACAGGTACAGAAACATGTTACTTGATGACAACAACATTCAGTATCCAACAGTCAACTCCTATGCTAAGTGTATTTTCCTTTATAAAAATGCTTTTTCTTTACAATTCCTTTAAAGAAGGGAGTTTTGCTGTAAGTACTGGCCAAAGGAGTTTGACAAAGAAAATGACACCTGTTAACACATTCCTTCCATCAGGGGCTTGTGTGGAAAGCAAATCTCTGGAACAACCTTACCTACTTAGGTCTGGCTCAGAGAGAGGAGTACCAAGTAGCTGGTTGAGATACAATCCCATCTGAAGACAGCACTGCCACTGGCAAAAATTGTGTGCAGCATCTAAATCAAAGTCGTTATTTTGCAATTTCTTTTCCTTCCATTTTAGAAATTCGCTATATGCAACACTGTCATCTTCAGCAGGTAGAACTGTGGGATCTAGGTTGTAAATGAAAAAATAACTTGGAAATCAATGTTCTGCTAGGAACAGTACAAAAGGTATCTGCAATGTATAGAGTAACGTCTTCTCCCTGGTTCTACCTGAAAGGATGGTGTAGCCCAGGTGGCGTGGTCTCTTCCCCCAGGTAACAACTGATAGGGCAAGGAGAAATGGCCTTAAGTTGCACCAGGGGAGGTTTAGGTTGGATATTTAGGAGGATTTTCTTCACAGAAAGAGTGATTAGACACTGGCATGGGCTGTCCAAGGAGGTGACAGAGTCACCATCCCTGGAGGTGTTTAAGGAAAGACTGGATGTGGCACTCAGTGCCATGGTCTGGTTAACAGGGTGGTTTTTTGCTCAGTCATGGGTTAGACTCCATGGTCTCAGAGGTCTTTTCCAACCTAACTGATTCTGTGTCATCAAATCCAAACAAGCTTTCCATCTCACTACAACCCACTTGGAAACTCTGTCAGTCTGGTTTCTATAAACCAGAACTTAAAGAGGCTGTATAATCCCTGGCATGCATCATCTTTGACATCAACTGAAGGACTCCTGGAGGAAATGAGGACTCTTGGAGGAAATGTCCATAACCCTAACAAGTGCACATATTACTGAAGCAATTTCTATGATTATTTAATACTTTCAAATTTGCAATTCATAGGCAGAAAAAGTGTGCCTGGGCAACTTAGCATTTTTAAGTACAAATGTTTTTAGAAAAACATATAAGCAAAAAAAATATTGGAATGCTCCAATAGTAGTTTTTTGATGCCTGAGTACATTACGCATATTTTTTGTAACTTTTATACCTGAATTAATATTTTGATCCTAAATAAAGTACTTAGGAATGCAAATTAATGTTTTACAATGTGGTAAAGCACTGTTTTACCTATATAAAATGTTAAATTGATGGTTAGCACTTTTTCTTTGTGCATATCAATGCATAGTGTGACACCTCAGGATATAGTGTAAATCAAGGCTAACTCCTCTAAATTTGGACAACTCCCTGTAACTATGGAAAAATGAATTATGGTCTGGATTTCTGTAGTAGTTGAACACCTAAAACTGTGTTCTCCAAAGAATACAGACATACCTGGATCATCAGTTATCCTCTGCAGTTCTTCAGAAACTATCATTAGAAGCAGAGCCTTTAACTGGTTCAGCTTAACTTTTGGTTCTGAACAACGTATCCAGTAACATGTTACAGCAACAGGGAGTTGTAAGTGACTTGGGACAGGTTCTAGGAAACTCATTTTCACTCCCAGAGTCTCCAGCAAAAGCATCTGACGGCAGGAAACAGGCACCTGAAAATACATTTAAAAATTGGAGGTAAGACACTTGATCTCTTGTGAGCAATTTCTAAAAGGCCAATAAGTTCCTGGTTAAATTAGTTATTGCTTTAGGTTTTTGATAAAAAAAATATTTAAGTTTCATAGATATTCTGAACAGGAAATATTTTTTAAAATACTACTTAAGACTTTAAAAATGACACAGTTAAATGTCAGGTAGAAAGATAAAAGTAACTGGTAAATAATTAATTCCTACCACCTGTTCCCTTTTTGCTGAGCCATTTAATTCCCAGAAAGTGGTGTTATAAGCTTTGTCCATAACTTCACACATGCAGAATTGCAGCAGGCTGTTCAGCTGCAATCTGAGTGCTTTGTAAACCTTGATTAGGATTGTTTTGCCTACTCTTAGGCAGACATTCAACCACGGTTGAAGTAAAGTGTCATTACTCTCTCTTAACACGAAACTTGATTTTTCAAGTTCTTAAGCGTGTATTGCTTAAAAGGTGTGTGCCAACAACCTCTGTAAAGTAACCATAGCTACCCGTAGTATTTAGTGGGTGTAGCAGTGGTAGACGTGGTTCCTTTACAAAGGAGCCACCAGCAAGTGATAAAAACATTCAGCACTGCCCACACACAGAGATGTGTTAACAGTCAATGTGAACGCTAGAATAGATAGAGCACATGTGCCTTAAAAATGCAGAATTAAAACACATGGATTGTATTTCTGGACGCTGCAGAAATGTCTGTATACAAAACCTCAGTTATGCAACTTCAAGAACGGGAGATTACTTCCCATTATGGCAAGTTACAGAAGTGCTACAATGGTGACTGGAACTAACCTAGTACAACTTTCGTGTGGTTTTCAGGTGTTTTTCAGGTGCTGTTCTGCTCTGGCAAGCGTCAGACCCATGCTAGCAGGAGCATACTTGGGACAGGTAGGACTGCTGGGCAGCTGCAACATTCACACTTGAAATGACTTCTAGTTAAAAAGGCACGAGTCAGATTTTGTTTCAGAACACTGTTCTGAAACATTTCACACCTTGATCAAATATAAATTAGGTTGTGTTAAAATTGGACTTTCCTAAACTACATGAAACCAAATTCCTTCCCAGAAAGCGCAAATATTAGTGTAACAAAATACACAGGATGAAATAAGGACTTCCAATGGAAAATGCAGGGAGTATTGCATTTACACACACAGTACAAGTTCTCATATAATTTGTCTTGGTACACTTGGAGGGGGGCAGGAAGGAAAGGAGATTAAGACAACCTGATGTAGCTTCTTAAATATCACAGATACTTCTGTGTTAAGTAGTTATTTACTGAGGTGCCTTAGTTCAGACATCATATTTAGTGGGCAGATGGAAAACGTGAATCCCAACTGTTTTTGTGTCACTCGTGAAACACTGTTAACTATGATCTGTTGTGACAACCATTTACCTCCATTAACTTGTCCAAAGGAAAACGATCATCACAAAAATCTGGGGGTAGGCTTGCCGCTTGAACAAATGTTTTTTTAAGTGTCTTTTGGCATCTGTCAAACTCACAAACAAGGGGCAGCTCGTTGGTCTGCTTACTTGGAGAAGCATTTTCAGTACTGTGAGATACTCTCAGAAGCAGTCCATAGATAACTTGTCGGATGGGCAAAGCTGTGCTATGAGCACTGGGTCTCTGCATGTTCTCCACCTGAACGCGGAGGAAGGTACTTCTAAGTATCAGGGCATTGATGATGAATGGGGCCAGCTTACCTTTCGCCAAAGCATCAAATACCCACTGTGGTACGTCTGCTTTCCTGGCAGCCTCGCACGCATAGCTCCCATTCTGAAAGAAATCTTCAAGATTGACGTCAGACGGCGCGTAATCCTCCATTGAAGCGCACAGAAGCTCCCGTATTTCTTCCCTCTGGTGTTTCTTGAGGTATTTCAGCACGCTGTCCACGGCCTCGGCGGGCTCCGCAAACTGCGCCAGCCAGCTCAGCAGTCCCTGGAGGCGGAGGTGCTTGCCGCCCCTGCCCGCCGCGCAGCCCCGCGGCAGGCACACCTTGCTGAAGAACGCCTCCAGCGCTTGCAGCTCGACGAAGTCGTTGCCGTGCATGACGGCGAAGAGCGGGAGCAGCGCCTTGCTGAGGCGCCCGAAGTGCCCGCAGAAGCGTTCGGCGGAGAAGCAGCGCGCGGGCACGTAGCATCCCTGCGGCGCGGCGGCGGCGCGCACGCTCTGCCACTGGAAGTGGGACAGCGGGCAGTAGCCGCCCGCCAGGTCGAACACGAAGAAGTCGCTGTCGAGGGACAGCACGGGGCAGCCCCAGCGGTTGGCCAGCCCGGCGATCTCCCGGTCGGCCTCGGCGAAGCACTGCACGAAGGGCACGCCGAGCCGGCCCAGCGCCTGCATGAAGACCTCGCGGGTCAGCAGCGGCGCCAGGCAGCCGCCGGCGCCGCGGGACAGCCGGTGGGCCGCCCGCAGCTGCTCGGCGGCGCGGCTCCGCAGCGTGGGCAGCTTCCTGTCCTCGGCGCCGCGCCCGCCGTCCAGCACCACGAAGGGCGCGACGCCGCAGGCCCGCAGGACGCCGAAGAAGTCGCGCACGGCCGCGGCGAAGGCGCCGTAGTCGCCGCCGCGTCGGAAGTCGGCGTCGGGGGCGAAGCAGAGGCGGTGGTAGAGGCTGCTGCCGTCGATGACCAGCTTGGTGTCCCGCAGCCGCAGCTCGGTGAAGAACACCCCGCGCTCCTCCACGAAGCCGGTGAGCCCCGGGACGCCCATGGCGCCGGAAGCAGTGCCGGCGGTGACACGTGCAGCCCTCCCATCCCGGATCCGCTTCCTCCCGCTCCTCCCGCCCGCCGCAGCTCGGGCGCGCGCGCCGTCTCCTGGCGACGGGGCCGCCGAGAGACCGAGTCCTGCGCGGCCCGGGCCGGGAGCGCCGCGGGGCCGGGAGCGCCGCGGGGCCGGGAGCGCCGCGGGGCCGGGAGCGCCGCGGGGCCGGGAGCGCCGCGGGGCCGGGAGNGCGCCGCGGGGCCGGGAGCGCCGCGGGGCCGGGAGCGCCGCGGGGCCGGGAGCGCCGCGGGGCCGGGAGCGCCGCGGGGCCGGGAGCGCCGCGGGCCGGGAGCGCCGCGGGGCCGGGAGCGCCGCGCGGCCGGGAGCGCCGCGGGGCCGGGAGCGCCGCGGGCGCTGCCGTGTGCCCGCGCCCGGCCAGCCCCAGGGCACACGCGGCCCCCCCGGCACCGCGGCCCCGCCGCGGCACCGCCGGCTCCCGGGGAGTCCCGCCTGTCCCGGAGGGGTGAGGAACGGGGACGGCGCCCTCGCCCCTTGCCTTGCGGGAATGTGGGTGCTGCCTTGTGTTTTGAGCCTTACACGGTCTTGAAACAATGTAATAGCATCCCTGTGGTTATGCTAGGGGATCCCGGCTTCGATAGGCGGGTACATTTGACCCCGTTTTACCATCACCCTGGAGCTCCTCTGCTACCAGCACTAATAATAAAATTTAGTTATCATTTCTCTAGGAACAGTAAAAAACTGAGCTAAGTGAGATGATGTCACTTTAGCCTTGGGTAAGTTTATTAAGACGTTGAAAAGAAAAGAATAATTGAGCCAGTGTTAAAAAGGGTTTGTTTTTTTTTCTTCCCATGAAGGAAAAAACAAGGAAAAAAATTTTTTTTTTTTTAAATTTTAAAAACATCTAAAGAGCAGGCCAGTGAAGTCATCAGTTGGAAAAAAAATCAAGGTAGTGAATACTGAAGATACTTAGAGCTAAAGACTTTAGAATTTGTGCTGCAGGGGATGGAGAGTGGCAAGTGTTAATGTAACACAATGGTTCTTAAGGAATAAAAAGAAAACCCAATAAAATTGGAAAATGACCTTGATTGGCAAAGAAGGGATTATCTTGGAAGTAGAAAATGTCAGAGTATCTTAGCTGTTGCTAAAGAAACCTGAAGGTTATTCTTACAGAAACTAAGAAAGGTCAGGGAAGAAGCTGAGATGGTTTGCACTCAGCATGTGTAGGTGGAACTATGAAACCCTAACCAGCGTCTTTCCTTTAGTTTGCAGCACAAAAAGGAAGATGTAACTCTAGCTAGGGAAGAAAATACTAAAAAACAGTGATCCATACAATGTAAATGCATTAGTTTGGTCAGCATCAGCAGGCCAGCAGGCTCCCTGGCTCTGGGATGGGACTTGGGAATGGTGGATAGGACAAAGGAAGCTCCTTTGATATATGGATATAAAGATACTGGATAGGGTATACTGAGGTTTTTTGGTTTTTGGGTTTTTTTTTTTAGGAAAAGAGAGCTAGAGACTTGATTCCTTTGTACTATCTCTAGTTGTTCTGAACTTTAATAAAGCAAGTGATGTTGCTGCTTGGGAAATACCTGCTTAGTGGGAGGTGGACACTGGTAGGAAAGGAACAGAAGGAGGGTTGGGCTAAAGGTTTGAGTGAGGTAGGAGGGGCTGTGGTTCATATACTTCTTGAAGAATCCATCAGTCTCATGGCTAAGTCAATCTTTAAGGTCTGGCACTTCAAAGGCATTTCTTTCAGATGCAGTGATCATCAATCCACCTCTTCTCTGCCATTAAAATGCACCTGTGATGCCCCAATAGCAATCACTGGCCCCTGCCTTCTAACACTCCAGCAGTAGATGCTAAAGCATTTCACGAAGTTCCATGATAATTATTACTGTTATTATATAGGGAGAGAACTTGAAGCATAGAGACTAAAAGGTGGGAGGCATTATTAGAAATAAAGCACAGAAGTTAAACTCAGTGAGCTGCTTGATCTTAAGCATGGTTTTGTGGTGTAAAGGATTGTCATACATTCCTAGGCCCAAGTAAGTATGAAAATTTGAAGGTGAGCTGTGTTAAGTGACTTCAGAAAGAAAAAAAAAGTATAGATAGCTCAGCAGTTTTTCTAAGTGCAATTATTTCTAAAGGAATTTATGAAGGCATACATAACACAGCAATTATGAGAATATAACAGTAAATGAAAATTGCATAAACTTTCTAGAAGTGGCAATATAATATTTTATGGAGCTCATCTTTCTGCCCTCCCCTCCTCTACAACTCAGCATAATACATTTGAGCTCCTTCAGACAGATTTGGAGTTACAGAGGAATAATTTTCTAGCTGACGTTCTTTCCTTCGTGTTGGCATTTCAAAATTTTTGTCAGCGTTGCTGAAAGAGAATAAAGTATTGGGAGTGCTGTAGTTTAAAAAACATGCAGGATTTGTATTATTAAGATGTCTTGTAGTAATTAAAGCTTATCTGTGTTTCATAATATGGTGACAGTGCAATGTCAGGCTTTTTGGTATGGTGTGACAGCAGCTCAGCAGATGGGTATGAAAATAGGTTCTTGTGCTTATACACACACACACACACACACACACACACACAATTTGTTGTTCCAAGACACAAATCTGTAGTCTTAATTTAGGCTCTACATTCATTTGGAAGAGAAGCCAGTGACTTGTAACCTAAAAGTTGTACAGCTTTCAGAATTAGGTGGTTTGCCTTTGCTTTTCCAAAACCACCATGATGACAATGAAAATCCTGTTTATCTGCTTGCCTTGGCCTTGAAATGATGTGGTGAACAAGGCCAGTGTGGGCCTGCTGCTCTGCAGTGCTGATGGATGGTAACAATAGCAACATTGATCTTGCAAGACCTTTACTTGTTCCAAAGGATCTTCCAGCAAAATGATGCATGTAGCATTATATAAAGACAAAGTGATGAAAACAATATGGTTTAGTTATGTGCAGTAAAACACCTCCCCTTTTTCATTTGGAATGAGGAAGGCTGAGTAAACAAAATTACTCTAAGCTCATGTTGAGCTATTGAAAACCACAGAAATGCCTTTGCAGTCCTTATGTTTGCAGAATTGGGACCTCAGTTAGACAGGAATTCCCAGCCAAAGCTAATTTGTTGGGAAGGTTGTAAAGGGGAGTCATGAAAGGGCACAGTGAAGGAGAAATGAATTTTAGGCAGAGTTGGGTTTTATAGGAAGTCTTGCAGATTTTCTGTGAAACTAATTTGCAGAAGATACTGGTAGTGAGTCACGGTGAAGCTGTGAGGTCAGCACAGGAACAGATGGTGAAATCTGAGGGTAAATGAAAGAGCAGAGAAAACAGAGATGGGAGAGAACTCAAGACTGGAGGTTATAGTTCAATATGTACAAAAATCTTGACATTAGCATCCTGAAATGCAGACATTTTTGGTGTCAGGTACTGTGGTGGTGTAAAGACAGGGGGTGAAGAAGAGTGCCATATCTAGGGGAACTGTGCTATCAGTTCGGTGAATTAATTTAAGGCTGATTTAGAGGAAGACTGACTATGTCACATCTACATCATCTGGAGTTTGTTTATCAAGTCTGCTGCCCACAGTTCAACAGCTAATGATTTCATTTAATTTGTGTTTGCTGCAAGCTGGGTACTGTAAACACTGCCACAGAATTAAATGAGAAGTTTAATAAGAATAATATATTGACAAATCAATATTTTTCTATTTCAAGTGATTTCTGTGAACATCCGTGGAAGAATAAAATTATTTGAAAGCTACATCCTTGAGAAATTGGTGGAGTTTTTGTTGCACAGAGAAATGCTGAAATTTCAAGGAACTGCTAAGCATGTCACTGTTGCCAGATTTAATTCTGCTTGCTCAGATGCTGTGATTGCAAGAAGATACACTATTCAGAGGAAACTTGGCAATGGAAGCTTTGGAAGTGTGTATTTGGTTAATGACAGAAAAGCAAAACAAGGAGAAGAACTGTAAGTAAACCCTTCAAATGCTTTACAGAAACATGTTTGGAACATATTTCTTGCATTGTAGGTATTTGTGTCTCATCTCTTAGTTTGATGTTATGTTGCAACCTTAACTGTCTAACTTTAGTGAGGATGTAAGGTAGAGGCAGACTTCTTTTGATAACACAAAATTGGATGCATTCAGGAATTGATTCTGTGTTACTGTAAGGACTCGAGATTGTTAGAGTGGTCTCAAAAAGAATCTCTACAGTATTGATGACCTCATTTTTATAACTGAGTTGTCTAAATGCAACCTGAGAAGGAACAGTTACAGAAATTCCAGTGAACACCTTTCTATTTGCTGTATACCTAACTAGTAGGTTTGATATTTTTTAAAAATTGTCAGCAAATTTTGATATTTTTTTTAAGCTTGCCTGAATTTGCACAAGTCTCATCAATTTTATTGATAAACCCTTTGGGATCCTGAAGCCACAATGGCAAAAGAACATTTTCAGAGTGTTGACATTCCTGTGTGTGGGTTTGATGTTGGGTTTGTGACTCAACTTCCTGTTGTGTAGAACTGTGTTTGTCTACCTTGATACTTACACCAAGTTAAATTTATTATTGGCAATATTGCTTTAATAAGAGTGTAACCAAGACATAATTCTGTCAGTTGTTTTCCTTCTACATCAATTTGCAGCTTCTTAGGTCCTTGGATTAGGGTTAGGGTACACTAAGCTCTTAGCTTTTTTCACATGGCTTAAATGGTTTTGACTCTCTCATAGCCTTAGCTACACTTTTCTCAAAAAAAGTTCTTTAATGAAATATTTCATTGAAACCAATAAACTGTTTTTAATTTTATTTTTATGTTAAGATGGTCTATCATGCACATGGGGTGATGGGAACTACCTGAGCTTCTAGGATGCTTCAGAATTCAGCTGTTACTAAACTCGTTCTTAGAATATGAACAGTATAGTGAAATGTGGGTCTCACACATTTGCTGCTATAGCACAACCTGCCAAACCTCAAAAACAAGGAACATGACATACGCTTTTAAGTGTTTTTAAAACTGTTTTCTTAAGAATTTTGAGTGACTGCCCTGAACAAATATTCACTGCCTGCAGCAATTCATACCTGCGTTTTATTAGAGATGAGCCTGAGTCTGTCCTCTGCTATATTCAGGACAGAGACTGAATATCAAATGACATATTGTTGCTTTTATTTTAAATTTTTTTATCAATCTCTTTTTGTGACACAGTACAGTAGAAATACACCAGCATTTAACCAGCCCGAGTGCTCCGAGATGTGCAGTGCTGTGTTTAATCCTTCCATCACGAGGGGGTGCTCGCCTACCACAGTTCATTCCTTGTCTCAAACACGAATTGACCAGGGGATTCCCCCAAATTTCTACCACTTATATTCTAATGGGTGACAAAAATATTGTCCTAGTTGAGCAGGAAAGCACAGGTAGTGTAAAGATATGAAGTGTAGGATTTAGAAATACTGGTTTCTTAAGGTGGTAAAATATGCTAGAAGTCACATTCTCAATACTGCTTTCAGATAATCTCATATGGAATTGTGCTGGTTGGTGCTTTTGTTATAGATATTTTTGAATGAAAATTTGTGTGTTTAAAAAGAATGATCTTAATACATCTCTGAAGGCACTTTGACAGAAAAAAAAAAAAAAACAAACCTACAAACAACACAACTGTGACCTCAGCAGAATTAGAATTCTATTTTTATTATTTTAGAGATGATCTAGAATGTGCTGAGATGAATGTTATGTACAGTGTAAACTCAGCCACAGATAATTTCCCAAAAACTGCAATAGTCTAAAGCACTATGGAAAATCATAGGAATAAATCATAGGAGTACCAACTCCCAAGAAAAGTGACATATTGATACAGGAATTGTTCAGGGATATCTTTCTAGATTTTCTGTTAGTCAATGTCTACATAATGCAGAGACTAACAGTGGTTATTGTGTAATTACAAGTATGCTCAGCAAAACTTCTGCATTATTCTAGGAACAGGTTTAGGTTGTGCCTTGTATTTTGTTACCTCTCAAGCATCATACCTGTACTGAGTGAAGTGTTATGCACAGAGTTGCTTCAGCTGGGAACAAAAGAGAGTTGATTATTTGGTGCATACCTCAAGCTAACAGATTTATTCCACATAAGACTTTCAGGGCTGCTCAGGCCAGCAGTGCCTGTCTTTCTAAGAAGTAAATGGCAGCTTCATGCATCTCTTCAGTTCTTTGTATGGATGGGATCAGGATTATTGAGTTTCTCAGATCATACTAGCTTACTATGATATGGTTGACTTGCCTACTCTATAAACAATAAGTCTATGAGGTACGAGTACAGTAGCACATGTAGATCCCTTACTGTAAGTGCCTCTTAAGTGTTGCATTGTATGACACATTCCTTGCCTGTTGCTTTAACTTCCTAACTGGGTTTTTTTTTGTTTGGTTGGTTTAGTTTGGTTTTTGTTCTGTTTTTTATTTGTTTTGTTTGGGGTTTTTGTAAATTTTATTTTCTGGTGGAAGAACTTTTGATCCTGTTGTATGAGTCTCATTGAGTATGACAGAGGGTTAAATATCTCAGATAGAAGTCCCTGCAATTTATCTGAAAGCAGCAGAGTAGAGAACAAAAAGAATGCCCTCATATAGAGAGGTCAGAACCTGGGAGGTTCTTCACTATGAACAAATTTTTCATGTACTAAACTATCTCTACAGAAGACAGATTATCAATTTCCCCCATTCTTTTGGAAGAAACTAGAATCGGAATTCATATCTTAGATCCTAAAGTCAGTTAAGCACATGAGACACATCTGTACCAAAGCAAGCTTCTTAGCTCCAGTTTAGACAGGATGTCTTAGTTTATGGATTATTTGATATTTATTTGTTCCTGGATATTATGGACCTAGACCTACCCAAAGCAGATTACTTGGTTTGTATAAAGAACGAAGAACAAGGATTGTAGCAGCATTTTTACAGCTAAATAATATTCCTGCAGTCACTTCTATGCTAGTCCCCCTGAATATCTTCTCAGTTGATGATAACAGGTAATTATGGTTAAAGACAAAATTGTTTACAGCAGAGATAAGTTCAGCACTAGCCTTGAAGGACAATGCCATCACTTAAAGAAAATGAATGTCCTAATCAATTGTACAGAGGGAAGCTCTGGGTTAAGTGTCACTGCTTTATAACCAAGTCTGGGCAAGCAGCTGAAGCACACAGTAGGCAATAGGGACTGCTAGTTCATAAATATTCACAAGGTATTTACGTGTCCCTGTGGTGGAAAGGACACGCTGACGAGTGCCAAACTCCCTGGACTGCTTCACTGTGTGGTAACTGTGGGGTGTCAGCTCAAATTCTGCATCTGACTTGCATTATAGCTTTAATCCAGACTCATGCTAGGATTCCTTGGAAACTGCGGGTTTAGCTGAATAATTTATCATGTAACTTTCAATTATTTATGACTTCTTATAACAAATGATATTAAATCTAAAGGTGGGGGCGATTTGTTCCTTATGAATATCCAAGTGACAGCAGATTGCTGTGTTGTCAAATCTCTGTATTTGCTGCCTGTTTGCTTCTCTGAAGGTATTCCAATGGAATGGTTATTTGATGCTGAATTGATTAAAACAGAAACAAATTGCTCCCTGTCAGTTGTTGTGTACATATTATAACTTAATAATAAAACTAGAAATTAAAACTGGAATTGATTAGGGCATTTTAGATTTGTGAAAGAATATTCACGATCTTGAAAACTGATCAAAGGTGCATTTGTTGTTGGACCTTCCTGATTCTGGCTTATTTTTAAATAAACTTTTCTTAGTAAACTGTCTTTTTCTTGGTTCTGTCACATGTACCTGTGCTTTCTCATGTAAGGCTCAGCTACTGTGCCATGCCTGCTGGCTGGGTACAGTCATTCTTGGCCCAAATGAGAGACCATAAAAGCATTGACCTTGTGGATTTAGCTAGAGCAGTTTGAGAAGTGAGCCTTCATGAGCTTTCCACTTGAATGGCCAAGCATGACTTTCGTATTCTGTGAGCAATGTTACAGTAGTCAAGGCCTAGAGCTAAGTGTCCAAGTAATTTCCTTGCTGAACCTCTGTAAGGGTGGCTGATGTTCTCCTGCTTTAGTTCAGAGTACACCTGCAATGGAGGTTGCTAGGGAGTGAAACTGTAGATGTTTTTCGTCAAGTTTAGCAGGCAGTCCCAGCTATGGCCACCATGGTTTCAGATCATTTCTAGTGCAGGTCAATACAATCCCGATTCAAAGACAAGTTTGATAACCTCAGACTCACCCAAAGCAGATCTCACTGGAAACCATGTGGAAAGGGGCTTTAGTCCCTACCTCCTGCATCCCTGTCAGTGCCCAGCTTTTCCTGCAGTCCAGCATGGCACAGTAGGGCTCCTCCAGCCCAATGTAAGAAAGTTTAGGATGCTTCTGTGCTGGATAAGGCTCTGTGGGTGCTGCAGGGTTTGGCATTGAAGCACAAGATATAAGATTTCACCCTGCTCATGCTGGTGATGGATTTGGCAATTTAAAGTCACAGCCATGCTGCAGTCCTTTGCACAGGTAATTGCTGTGTTAAATTTTCTAGTTCCCTCATAATCAAAAGCATAAACCCCAGCATTCTGTGGCTTGTTTGGAAGCAAAAGATCCATACTGAAATATGTTGAGACCCTTTTTTTAGCTTGTGTAACACAGGTGTTTGTGAAATCCTCCTCAGTGCTGTCTGATACAGCCTTTACATCTGCTCAGTCACCTTTATGAGCTTTGGTGGTATTGTTACTGGTTTTTGGGGTTTTTTACTGCTTTCTTTTTAATACATCTTTCTTAGACTAAGTATGAGAATAAATCACATGGGCCTCCATTTTCTTCATGGTGGAAAAAGGCCATTCTTTATTCACATGACTCTTTTTTATACAGTATTATGTACCTTGTGTGGGGCTCTAATTGGTTAGCAGTCTTCTTGCCAGTTACTTTTATTGGTTAGTAACAAGTTGTTATTCTG